ATCAGAACAGATACTTTTGAGAGTGTTCACTTTCTTCATGTAGTCCACAATTTGGTCGGGTTGCTCTTGTTGGAAATGTTCAGCAGCTTCTTTCGCATAAAATTCTCTGGTTGTTTGAAGAAACTTTGATTCAAAACGAGTCTTAAAGATTGAAAAAGTATGAGTAAACGTATCAAGACGAAAACACTACCCTATATACAGATAACCTGTGCTCTTCGTTTTCAGCAGATGTGGAAGGTGAAGAAGGGAAAATGAAATCAGCTTCACTGAGCTCATGTTCAATACCCAATTCGACTATCAATGAATAATAATATTGCAAATGTAAAAGTAAGTGATTACCATAAGATTCGACAACGCCTTTGATCAGCTTACTGGGAATGGGTTCTCCAGTACGCTCCCGATAGATCTGTTCTAAAGCAGCTTCAGCAATACGGTCTTTTAACATAATGAACAAGTGTTGCTTCCAAATGGCAAGAGTGAGCTATAGAAGCTTAACATTACAGTTATTGATGTTTCAAAATACCGTAAAACAACGGAATATACTTCTATTTCCTTCTTCTACTTCTCGTTTAATCCAGTGTCGATTTATATAAGAAAAAATCCCATCAACAACCTAAATATCTGAGGAAGCTCAAGACTTTCTGTTCAGACGATGTACCTTGGAGGAAAACCTGAATTCACTCCATTCATGAGTGTAGAAACGTAATAAATCTTCTCCATTCCACTCGCTGCCTCTCTTGAATATGAGAAAAATAAAAATATAATTATTCACGAACATACTTGGAAAACATCAGTCACATATCCTGTCACGTATTTCCTTAACTGGTCGTACAGTTCAGAACCCACAAAGTCAGAATGATGCTGGTCCCTCCTCTCCAAAAAGCTCATAGGACCATGCTTTAAGCTATGAATTTGGGACAGACTGCTAGAAGCTGTACAAAAAGTGAACACATTCCTTAATAGAATATAATATATGGATAGAGAAGCTAGATAATCATACGTATAAAGAGCCATGTATCGTTTTGTGTTCATTTCTTTATGAATATATATATTAATGAGTCCTTGTTCCAAATCACTCCATACTTGATTTGCGATGGGTTTTTCATTTGTATTACCTGACATTATTCTGAAATTGTAAGCTTAAATATTGAAATATTAATAAGAAAAGGAAAAAGGTAGTCAGAAGGATGCAAGCATGACCCGAACAGTAGGTCATTCGCATTAGAGCGCGCTTCTGTCAGCATGACAATTGCTCGACTGTTAACTTAGTGTTTTCTCAATTCGTTCACGTGATTTCAAATTTGAATCAATTTCATTTTTTCCTCAGAATAATTGGGGGATTACTTCATGAAAATGATTAAATTATCAATTATTAACGAAGGAAGTCATGAATTTCGAATGTTTGTGGAAGGAAATCACCTTCCAACACAAACAGAGGCAATGATATACGTAATGAGTAATTCATAAAGATTCAATCTATCTGACCGATAAGAGAAGGGGCGAAAGCGCAAAATAGCATAGCCCGGAAGGTAAAATATTGATAAAAAAAAAAGTGAAAAAAAGCTTGAAATTCCGGTTTAAACTGAGAGAAAAGTCAACTCTCCAACCGTCGTCACTCGGACTCCTCTCAATGACAACGACTTTTGATTGCAATGAAACGAATGAAAACAAAAATGACCACCAACCGCTCTGTTCAAATTAATATTTGAGAATGGCATTTGCTGATAATTGGAATGAAATGCTTGCATGTGATCCCTAGCATTTGACTATCCAAGCTGATTGTGTATATGTGTTGATGTGTATGTGTGTATGTGTGTCTCCTACACTCTCCATTCAATCTCTCTCTCTATCCTCTCTCTCTCTTTCTCTTAGAAAGTTCATTGCAACGTTATTCTAATGAAGTGGATTTGTTATTCGAGTGAACTATCAATTTCATAATATTAATGGTGCATATATTATCTTTTTGTTTATAAATTTCTTACCCATAATTTTCACTTTCGATTTCTAGAAATATGAAAGATTGAATTTAAAAATAGACCAGAAATAACATGTTCATATGATTGGTCTATTTCCGGACTAGCTGGACGTTCCCATGTTCCGATTTCGTTAGCTCTGACGATGAGCACGGAATAAGCATCAGTATCAAGCTGGATATAGCATCATGCTGGATATAGCATCGTGCTGGATATAGCTTGGTTTGGATCAAAAACACAAACTCAACATGTTTCACACATACACATACACACACACAGACACACACATGCAAGGTTTCAGTCCGAACCGTACTATCAGATTTTCTATCCCTGGAGGACCATTTTGCTGAAGTTTGATAGTTTGATAAGCCTTTCCTATTGTTTATACTAGAGACATATCCCCTAAGGTAATTAAACTTATAACATGGCTTCATTAGACAGTACTCCAATTCTGTGCACTCAAAAAAGCTTTCAATTTTCGAAAACAATTCTATTCCGCTGAGACATTACGACACCTCCTTGTATAGACTTAATTATATTTTTTAGTTTCAACCTGAGATGTTTATTTGAATTTTGCACAATCAAAGTCATATAACTTAGATCGCAGTACTTATCAGCCTTTCCCATCGGACACATACAGCAATTTGAAACATTTTTTTATTATTATAAAAAGTGATTAAAATAAGTTTTTCTTTCATTTTTTTGTTACCTAGACCCCACAGACCTGACCAAGTCTATTATGCTTCAAATCAAAGATCTTACTTTAACCATACCTTTCATGTCAATAAGTTTCGTAAGCTATTCTTTTATACAGAAAGTATATCATAATTGAAAATATTCAAAAAGCTCATTTACAAGCATGTTTTCCTTCACAACCACCATTACTCCTACTACTACTGCTGTTGCTGTTGCTGCTGCTACTACCACTACCACCATCACCTCCACCACCGCACATGAAACATTGTGTGTGCACATTTAAAATAATTAGTCAATGATTATTGATTACAAAATTGCTATTCAAGAATGCATGTAATTTAAAACGTTAGAAATCAGATGGACTAACAACCAACGATGACTACATCATATTAAGACGTTAAGCTTAGTATAACATCATTTCAATTTTAATGGGAAAACATCTCAAATCACGAAACACAGAAAAGGCGCACCAATGTTCTGATGGAAGTGTATAAAGAAAGACTGCTAATTACAGACTGAAATTACATGCCTCTATCAACTTCTGAAAATGACTGATTCAGCTGTGATGAGATAAAACAATTTTTTTCCTCTTTTCATCCTATCCCTCTCTCTCTCTCTTTCTCTTTCTCTCATCCTCTCTGTTGATCCATCTCTCTCCCACTCTCTTAAGTGCTTTAAACGTTTATTAAAATAAAATTAAAATAAGAAAAAGAAACAGATATCTGGACAGATTGCAGTTTAAAGGAGAGAAGTGAAGATGAACAACCGTTCGTTGCGTACCCAAGTTACACTTATAATATGAACCATGTGCATTTCACGTGGCACGTGAATTCACGTAAATTCTGAAAATGGGGCGTGGTTGGAACAGCCAGAACAAGTTGGAGAGATGTTCATATCTAATCAAATTGTAAAAAAAAATTTAAATAATGATTAAGCCGTTGACCTGAGCATATGAAAAAAATTTAATAATATTCCGAAGACATAGCTTTCCAAATCACATCCGCTTTAGTGCCCGCAGGCCACATATGGTTCATTTAAATGATTGAGCAATAGCCTTAGGGTTTACTCGGCCTCTCGTACTCCTTCTTTTAGTCTCTTCTTTTAATATCTTATCTTGTTCTTCTTCGTCTTTTCTTATTCCATTCCACACAATCGCAACTCCTCTACTTCTCCTTTTCTCTTAAGTTTTCTCTCCATTTTTTCTTTTTTCACATTTCTATGTTTCTTCTATTCTCATTTTCTCTCCATCTCATATTCTCTCTCTCTCCCTCTTCTCTTCTCTTTTTAGTCCTAGAAGTCTGCCTGATCATTCCGACGAAAGAAAGAGGCGTGGCCACGTGTGTCGTCGCCCCCGTCTGCCCGGCCCAGGAGCACCCCTCCCCCTAGCCATACACACATACATACACTCTCGCACCCACAGCTTATACCCAAGGCATTTCATTTTCTAAAATTTTTTATCATTATTTAAATATTATTGTATTGAAACTATCTAATCCTTCATATCTATCACATATCTATGAATCCATAGACTGTCTGGCTCTCAGGAGCAAAAGAAATTGTAAAGAGTGTTTTTCACTCCATTTTTTCCAATCTCTCTCTCTTTGTTTCGTTTTTTTCAATCTCTCTTTCAATCTTTCTCTTTCTGTCTCTTTATCCCACACTCATTATTAAGAAACCCTTTTTACTTTTCAATTTTGAATGTTTTGTTTCGCTTTGAAGACGAAGTCGAAGACTTCAGACATTGAATTTGAATACGAGCATGAGAGACATCTGAAGGCAATATCTTCAAACATATCTGTCTAATCTTACGAATTATCTCGCAAATGTCTTTGTCAAACAATTCTCAACTTCTGTCTCATTCACTTCTCATCTACTACTACTCGTCTCTTCTTCACTCAACCTCCAAGTATTTAAAGGTTTAAGCTGTTTTGCTATTCTCTGTCATTTCAAATTATTTTGTATAATTTCATGTTCATGACTAACTATATGATATAATCTCTTCCATCTCTTTCACATACAATTTCATTTGCATATTATTCGTCGTTGTCGTTCTCGTCGTCGTCGTTGTCGTTGAAGACTGTCAACACGCAAACGATTACAAAAAAATCATTTTTTTTCATTATTTAAGCATAAAGCTGAAGGAGAAGAAGAAGAAGAAGAAGATTTCAATATCATAATTGAAACATCAGCTGAGCTCATCAACCAAACACACACAGACACACACAGACACACATCTACATCCACACCACACACCAACACATCATCTGGATCGAGCAACATCAGAGTGAACACAGAAGAAGAGAAGATAATCAAAATTGTGTGTGGAAGAAGATGTCTTGTCGACTATCAGGACTATCTGATTTATCACCAACAGAATTCTATTCATTAGCATGTGCCAGCTGTTTCTATTATGTATACATGCAGATGAAGCCTTATCAAGATATTTATTATTCTGAACGATGTACTGATGGCTTACTGATTTGCTCAAAATCACAACAAGCCGATGAGATCTGTTCATGTGATAATCCTAATTATGTCTATAATATTCATGATTTTTCATCAAATAAGTAAGTTTGCCTTTACTATATGTATATGGTTAGTTAGTTATAATATATATGTTTTGTTTGACAAAAGAATGTTCTCCACTCTCTTGCATATGCTCTTTTGTATTCAAACTTATAATTTGACTCTCATTTCTCTCTCATCTTCCCTCTCTCTCACTTTTTCTCTTTATTCTCCTTGGATACTATTCAGCTTCATCTTTCTCTCTCTCTCTATACCTCTCTCTCTATCTCTTTCTCCCTCTCTTCCCTTAAGACTATCCTTTAAGCTTTCTCAATACAAACTTTTCGTTCACCAATCATTTACATGTTTCTTCTTCCTTTTAGCTCTCCAGATTCCGTTCCCTCCATATTCTCTATTTCAATGCCTTTTTCTGGTTTTTTTTCTTTTTTCTTCATCTCCCTCATTCTCTCTCTCTCTCAATCAGCTTCTTTCCATTCATGTCCATTCTATTCGTTGCGACTGTTTTTCGATTTCTTGTCCTCTTTAACTGATTAGCTTAATTCGGAAAATTCAATGTTGTTGATCTCTCAATGCTGCAACAGCAATTCACCGATCATAACCTCTCTCTGTACATGCTCCAATGAGAATTGGCAACAGGAAATTCTATTGAAACATAAAGTCATAAAGCAAACTTTTACATTTCAAAATCATTTACACTTCTATTTATAATTTTTATTTTTTAATTCTTTACTTTTCAATTTTCGCTTGAAGCAGCAGCAGAAGCAGAAGCAGAAGCATAGATGATCGTCCTTTTCGGTCATTCGCCAACGCTTCTTCAACTGTTTGTTTATGTTTGTCTCTTCATCTCATGTGCTTGCATGCAAGTAGAAGGGAGAGTATTGAGACAACAAACAAAATATTTGTTTTAAAGCTTTCACCCCTTTCTCTCTCTCTATGAGTTCACTCTCTCTATGCTGTGAGATCATTCTTAGAGTAGCAGGAAGAAGCAACGATGTAGAAGATGGGAAGAAGCAAAACGATATTCAGTTGGATATGCAATGAAACTCTTTTTCCATTTAAGCTTTCATGTAATAGCTTTAGTGTGAATATTTCAAAGTCCATCTATCTTGTCATTTCCATAGGGGCCAATTACTCATCTGCAAAGTCTTCAATTCCATCGTTATTGACCACCCAAGTACCTCATTAATCAATTAGCTTCTCGTTTTTTTTCTCTCTTTCACTTCTCTTGTTTTGTTTTCTTAACAAAGAAGAAGAAGAAGAAGAAGACGAAAAAAGATTTTTTTTTGTTCGTTTTCCTCTTCTACTAACTTCCCTCCATTCATCCTCCTGCACCTACAACGAACCGGAAAGTGAACGTGTGTGCCTCTTTTGCATGTGTCTTCTGCCTTTACTATGTATGGCTATGTTCTCTCCATTTCTCTCTGCATAACTACGTCAGAGAGCAGTTTTGTATTTTTCCATATTTGACCTCCAATATGGACAGTTTATTCTAATTTCCATTCTGTCATATGACATCATTATGACTTAGAGGGATAGTACGTCTGAATTATGAACAGCAAGATACTAAGTGAGGGGGAAGACAAAAAAAAAACGATTGCCTTTTACTCAAAAACAAACTTTTTTATTCCTTCTGTGAGGGGAAGGAGAAAAATAATTAGAGAGACTGTCCCTTTCTCTTTCTCTCTCTTCACCTTTTCTCTCTCTCTTTGTCTCTTTGGCAGTCTTCATCACTTCAAAGGGCTGTTCACTTGCTGCCTGCTACCATTGCCGCTTTCTTCTGTTTTTTGGTTTTAAAAAACAAATTGTAACCTCCTATTCTTGTATTATTCACTATACAATATAAAATAAAAGTCAAATGTAGACACATTTGATAGAAACATGCTGAATGAGAGAGAGGGAGAAGGGGGGATCAGAAGACAAGATTGAATGGAAAGGGGGGTAAAGGAAGAAGAGCAGATGAAGCGAAATGGACCAAGCGTTAGCATGATACGAACGTAAGATGAACGTTTATAAAGAGAAAGAGAGCTTTACAAATGATTAGGGAATACTAGAAGAAAGAAATCATTTGATGTAGAGAGAGAGAGAGAGAGGGAGTGAGAGAGTAAGAGAGTAACATGAAGAGATAGAGAAGGAGAAAGAGCAAGGAAAGTCTTGGATGCGGAAATGTGTTTGATTGACAGAATCAACATGTTAATGAATTTCAAATGAAAGAAAAGACAAATCTGGCAGTCAGCTCAATTTCATTGGTAGCTTAAGCTATTGAATAGCTAACAATGTTAATTATATGATATAGTTAATGTTAACTATGTGGTATAATCCTTTCGTCATGCTGTCTATATGAGCTCATACTATCATTCTCATTCTCTCTCTCTCTCTTGCAATGTAACACAAATTGAAAAAGCGGGAAATAAAGGCGTTTGCTCATCAAATTCAAACCCAGCTGTCACATACATACTTTGAAGCCTTTTTGACCATAAAAAGAAATATTTTATTTTTATAACATCAAAAGTTTTCTTTAAATAAGTAATTAGCATATTTGGGTTTGATGTGCATAGATGAAGCCTTGTAATCAATTTGTATCAGCAACAGCTTTGAGTCATAGCGATAGTCATGCTTTACCACTCTCTTCCAGCTTCTTCCATTCTCTCTCTCTCATACACCATCAGCCTGATAAACATCCATAAATGGAAACACAAAGGTTAATTGTCATCAATGCATTATGCCCTTTACATTCCTGACCGTATCTCATCTCTCTGCAACCTTTCCTCATTCTCTTCCTTAACCCTTCTGCCCGTATATCCTGTTGCTCTCTTTTACATCATCGTTTAACACAACCAAATCAAATTTTTTTTTGTTACTTCTCCTTCTCCTCCTCCTCATCCTCTTCTGCATCGACTTCTTCTTCGTCGTCTCATTCTTCTCTTGTTCGTTTAACAAGTATTTCCGGAAAATTTGGAGAATCGTTTCCGGAAAATGCCTTTGAACGCAGAAAGAATGCGAAAGACAAGGTAAGAGAGATGCCACATAGAGAGAGAGACAAAGAGAGAGGGAGAGAGAAAGCAACAGACTAAAAGAACACCAAGTGCAGAAATTCGATCTTCAGCTGACAAAAATCAGAAACATTTATACTTCGCCGTGTGTTTGGTATTCTCTCTGTGTCCATGTGCTTCATCCAATCACAGAGAGAAAATACAAAAATAAGAGAATTATAGAGAAATTAACTATATGTATAACTAACGGACGAACACTCTAGTTCAAATAATATATGTTGCATAGCTGAAAGTTCATATGGCTTAATGGGAAATAGCTTGAATGTCCAAAACAGGACATGAAAGGTGAAAAAAGAAGATGTCGAAGAGGACATTGAAGGGAGAGCAGGAGGTTGAGGGGGGGGGGGCAAGGGAAGCGACATACAACGGGAGATGTCTATTTAGAGGTACGAAGGACAAAGACAGCCAAATCCTTTTCTCTTTTCTTTTTTTTTTTGCAAATCAGCATGGGAAATGACGATTGGCAGAGTTCAACAGATGAAGATGTTTCGGATGTTTATCGTCTCAGCTTCATCTCCACCCCATCCTAGTTGTTCAGCAAAAAAAGTTCAAAAAGGTTAAACTGCAAGTAGACTCAATCAATAGTTCTTAAAAATCATTGAGCATTCGGTGTAGAACTGAAGATAACGAAACTTGTGGTCAGATTCATCCAGAAGTAGATTCAGAGAGAGAAGAGAGAGATAGAGAGATAGTGAGAGAGTCTTTAAGAGGGAGAGAGATACAGAGACATCCAATTATGGTCGTTCTCTCTTTAACAATCCCAACATTTCCTTTTGTTACATCAAGCATTATGCTTTAAAGGCTTAAAGCTTTTATAGAAAAATAAGCTGTAAGCTTTTTTCTGATTCTGGTGGTTGTGCTTCTGCTCGTCAGCTTGTTTCAGCTTTATCGCTTTTGATTATTTGAAGAATGTAGGCAAGCAGTCAGGCGAGAGATATAGTCCGAAAATAGTAAAAACAATGGAAAAATAAATATTTTTTTTATAATCAGCTGATGGAATGAGAACAGCAGCAGGAGAGAAGCAGAAAGCAATGTCTGTCTGACTATCTCTGCTTCATCTCTCATTTAATGTGATGTCTTCTTTAATTCTTTGGCAGACGTCCAATAAAAGCAATTCTGATGTCGTCATCTGATCACATTGTCTATGTTTTTCTTTGAAGCTCAAGTTGGCCAATACATGCAAGATTAAACGAGCAACGAAGTGTGATGCGTTTGGCCGCCCAGTTTTCTTTGAACTCTCCTCAGATTGTATGATCTATAAGATGATCTATCGGCCTATGCTTCATTTTCATTTTTGTATTCAAGATCATATTACTGGCTGCCATGCAAACATTTCCAGAAAACCTATGGTCGAAAAAAGAAGATGAAGCTGACGAAATAGTAGACCGACAAAGATATCGAGAGAGTGAGAGAGAGTAAGAGTATGAGTGGAGACAGAGAGCGAAGACTTCTCATCGATATAAGGTATTCCTTCGGACTAGATAGTACTCCGTGAATCAGCTTCTCCTCTCTCTCTATCTTCATCAACTCTTTTCTTAGCACGAACCTAACTATAGACAACCAAATACGTAATCCAACTCCTTTTGACGGATCCATGCTCCCTTATGGCTTATGTGTCACCATGTAAGCATACCAAAAGTTCAGCTTGGGGACCAATACGGTTAATAAGCTTCTCACTCTCCCACATACTACTTTCACACTCTGTCTTCACACCCTCCAATCCATATGTGCTCTTTCACTTACAAAATCAAATGAATTTCTGAAATGTTCCTTTGAACCTTTCATTCTCGACAACCTTCAACCATAATATTCTGTCTGCTCAAAACTTTCTCGTTAAAAATCCCAGCTTACAGCCGATCATTGAGTATTCAAAAAGAGAAACGAACGAGCCGATTCATCATCATTTCACGTCAATTTCACGTGAAATGTTTATGGGGAGCTGGGGGGTTAAGAGATGAAGCTGAAGCTGAAACTGAAGTTCTCTTTATCATCAACACCTGACTCCATCACGACATAGATGACAATCACATACTAAGCTTCATCATCTTTTTCTGCTCGTCCAAATAAAATATCAAAAAAAGAACAGATGATGAAGAAGAAGCTCGTGCATCATCAGATCATGATGGTGATGATGATGATGACGAGAAGCCGTCCACAGGTGGTGTCATCTCTCTCTATCTATCTATTTCTCCTTCTGATTTATTGGGCCATCAAAAGAAGAGCAAAAAAACGATGAAGCATCATTCTGGTGATCCATAAAATGAAAATGTGAATGAATTACCATCGTCTGCCTCTTTCATGCAGATGTGGGTCCTCCACCTTCTAAAATCCCCGTTTATCCAATTAAATTAAAATTTCCTTAATTACTTTCTTCTGCAATTTACTTTCATTCTTGTTCTTCCCAGATGCTGTTAGCCGATTGAATTTTTATTTTTCAAAGGCAGATAGAGAGAGTGATAGAAGGAGGGAATGAGAGACAGAGAGAGAAGAGTGAGTTCATCAAGATGGTTTTAAGCTAAAAAAAAGTTTTAAATGATCCTCATGGATGATGAAAGAAATCCATTCAGAGGGTGGAACGAAGAAAAGAATTAAAGTCCAACAAGAATATAAAAAGATCGACAAGAGAGAGGGAGAGAGAGAGAGAGAGAGCGAAAGAGATGTTCCAGAAGGAGGAAGAGAGGAAGGGGGGGGGGGGGGGTGCCAAGAACTCTCGAGATTCACTTTTTGCTTCAAATACTAAACTATGGACCAAGGCAAGGGGGGGGGGATTAAGGACGAACGTGCTCGTTAGCATTGTAATCAAACACAAAATTTCAAACAAAATTGTTCCATTTCATGTTCTGTGCGGAATAATAATTCTAAGCTTCATCTTTCCCTCCATTCCCTCCTTTCTCTTTCTCTCTCTCAACTGTCCCTCTCTAATCTCTCTCTCACTCTCTTTGAACGTAAGCATTTCCCTTCAGATTGTATTCAATTACACATAATTAGCAAACAGATAAGCTTCATTGGCTGAAAAAAAATATTTTTATGGCTCGTCCTTCCAAAAATAAAATTTCATTTCAACCCAATTGTTCAGGATAGTAGTTCCGGAAATCTGATTCCATGTGATGATCGGTTTTTCTTTGTGAGGAGACCACATGTCACCTGTGTGTCAGTTTTGAGCTTTTGCTCTTCTCAACTTTCCTTTGCTTCATATCCAGTTGCTGCGAACTGAATTTTTCTTTCTTTTTCTTCTTCTTCTTCTTTTTTTTAATTCAATTTCCACAATTGGAATAGAAACCGATGGAGAGGAGAAATATGACTGAATGGGGCGAAGAGAGAAACGTGTGTGTGGGGGATATGACGACGATCAGCTTCATCACATTCTCAAGTTCAGCTTTGCTGCTTACATGATGTATTCGAAAGTTCATGACACACATCCATACATACATACACCACACACACATACACGTGCACAAAAAAAGTTTTTTTTTTCTGAAATTGAAGCTGAACGTCCAATGGACAAAGAAGCAGAAAATAAGAAGAGTTTCATGTGGACCACGTTTCTTGTGGGGGCCAATTCGATTACTCAACAGCATCCGTTTACGAGATAGAACGACATGAAAAAGTTGGAAGAGAAGAGTTGCTGGAGAGTTTCTAACAAAGAAGAGAAAAGGGAGTTTAAGGAAAGAAGCTAAAGGCTCTAAGAGAGAGAGAGAGGGAGAGAAATGAACAAAAAGAGGGAAATATTCTTATCATGGAGAAAGGAGAGCAACCATCTCTAACCAGAAACATCATTCTCCCCTCTGATAACCATCATTACCATCACCATCAGCAGAAGCATTGAATGCTCTAACATTGGTCTTTCCATCTTCGGGACCATATGTATGCCCTTTGTGCAAAAATAATTTTTGAAATTGCGAAGGAATGGTCGATTAGGTGATCGAAGTGCTCTCTCTGTATCTCTCCCTCTCTCTCTCAGTCTCTCTCTCTCTCTCTCTAGAGATCTCCCGTTGGCTGTTTGTGAAGAGAAATTCTCAATTTTTAATGAAAATATGTAATGAGAATGCTTAATATATTCATAAGAAACTTATACGTTTAAATAGAGAAACGTTTGAATCTCCTTCTCCTTCGTCTTCTTCGAAATGCAATCACCGAAATAGAAACCACCCACAGCCTCAGGCAATATTTGGTTAAAAACGTTTGTTTCATAGAGCTTTGCGTCTTTCATGGTTGGTATGTGTGTGTGAAGCGATAAATAAATAATTTAAATCTCATTGTAAGATAATCTGTGAAGATGAAAAGGCTTTTTTCATAAAAATTAAAGAACATAGAGAGAGATAGAGGGAGATAGAGAGAGAGAGAGAGAAGGAAAGCGGAAGAGAGGAAGGGGGGGGGGGGGGGGGGGGGAGAAGGATAAGAGATGAGGTGTGGGGAAGGGGGGGGGGGGGGGGGGGGGTGGTGGACGAATGATCAGATAATCATATGATATAGTTAAGTTAACACTAGGTTTACATGTCCTATCTATGTCCATCTCCTAGAGCATTCATGTGTGTGTAGTTCTCTTATATGGAACATCTACCTCTCTCTCTCTCTATACTCTTCATTCTCTCTTCAGCTCATCTTTCTCTTTCTCTTGTTCTCCATATCATTTCCCTCGTTAAGCTCATAACTTGAACATCATCATCATCATCATCATCCTCTGTTTGTATCTCTCTCTCTCTCTCTCTTACTCTCTTCTAAACAAATGAATGAAATGAAAGAGAGAGGGGGAGAGGGGATTGAGAAGAGGAAAATTGAAAAGTTTGTCATCTTCAATGCATTTATTTAATTAAATTTGATACATTTACGAAGGTCATAATCTGTTGAAAAGCTATTCAATTCTCATTTATCTAATCATTCATTCAATTCAAAATCCGAGATGCTTACCACCACATCCCACACAACCCGATACACCCAACCACCACAATCTCACAAAACAAGAGAGATGAAGCTCAACAATGTTGTATTTTGAACTGAAAATCTGAATAAATGAGTTTGTTCAATAAGCTAAGATAAGCTTTTCCATCCTTTACTCTTCTTGTTCCTCATTGGCTCAAACAGGACAGACTAAGACAATCACTTAATAGATCTTAAGCATGAGATTGTCGGAAGCTTTGAACATGCTTCATCTCATTAAAACTTTCCTTTAGCAACTCCGCTAACTATCAAGAATACGGTTTAAACAAGAATTATTTTCAGATCGAGGGTAACATCATTGGATAAGTTAGTTCTTACACCACCGTTACCGGATACATTCTATCATCTGACGAAGCAATGCTGTGAAGCTGCTCGACAATGCTGCTCCAATGTACTTCTACCAGCAAGTTTGAATTTAAATATTAGTAAAGGTATGTGTATATATGCTTAACTATATGATTATCATTGACTATATGTTCAGCATGTCCCGCAACCTGGGATGGATGGCAGTGTTTCGATAGTTCTGATCCATCAATCGTGAGTACGGAATGTCCGACTTACATATATGGAGATTACTCAAGGAATATGTATGGACAAAGTAATATACTTTTTAATTCCTTCATTCTCATTTAAATATAGCCATCTTCTTCACTTCATTTCTTTTATTTGAATTTAAGAGGGAGAGAGAGATGAGATGAGAGAGGGGTGGGGGGAGGAAGAGGAAGAGCTGGATTACGTAGAGTAGGGACATGAGAGGGAACCACCAAAAAAGAAAAAAAAACTTCTTAGTATTTCTAAGAAAGAGAAATAGAGAGAGAGATGGAGAGGAAGGGAAAGTTCGAATCAAAACAGGAAACATCGCCGAGTCGCTTTTGTATGAAAGAATCGAACTTTTGAGTATCAATTTCGTGTCTGTTGACAGTTCCAGGCTTTGATCTTTAAACAGAAGAGGAAGAACAAGAAGGGAAAAGCATAAAAAGTATTTTCTTCACAGACGAACAATGACAAAAGTGGTATGTGTGTGTGTATTTGTTTTTTGGCACTTTTCCAATAAGAAAGGTTGAGTGATCTGAAGACGTCGTCAACGATAACGTCCACGAGTGAAGATGTGAGAAAGAAGCACAAAGCTTTAACATCTTTTAATAGAAACAACAAATATTTTGATTTGCGACAACGCAAAAGAGTTTCATCAATGAACTCTTGCAACAAGATTTATGAGAGATTTGATCAATTTTTCATTCTGTTTCACAAGTGAACGATGAAAAAGCATAGTTGCAAGCTTGCATCTCTAGTCATCATCTCATAGGCCATTCATTTTCAAAAATCACAATATTTCAATTCGCTAGGGGGGGTAACGAAGTTGATGGGTTGTAAGAAGGAAATGAAAGATAGAGAGAGAGAGAGAGGAAGAGAGAGAGGGAGAGAAGGGAAAATAGAAAGAAGCTTAGACAGGTTTTTTTTCCTTCATCTTCTTTTCATTTCTAAATGTTCTTTCAAAGCTTCTCCGGCATTTCGTTTTTTTCTCTCCTCTCAACTAAGCTTTAATCAAAAACTTCACAAAGCTTCATCGATTTCAAGAAATGAAAAGACATTCAAACGAAGAATTTATATGAAAAAAAAAAGTTTTTTTTTCTCTTCAGATGCTGTTAAAGAATGCACAATAGATGGATGGGGCAAATCTCCACATGGCTCAAGTGAATGGACAGATTATACGGGATGTCATTCAGTCCAGCAGGTTATTATTTGAGAAAAATGGAATCAAACACTTCTTCCTACTGCCTGTCTATGTATGCGTGTGTGTATGAGTGTAGACCTGCCTATGTACCTCTATATATGTATGAGGAAGTATGAATGAGTCAAATGCTCCAAAAGTTTCTTTGAACTCTCTCTCTTCTGTCCGTTTATCGTTGTTGAAGGATGACGTTTGTGTTACGGAATAAGAATCAACCAGTTCATGTGCCAGCAACATTCTAAAATGAAATTGACAACGCACACGTGTCTCTTAATATGCTAATCAAGATTTCAGCTGATCTGAAGCTTTAACTTCCAATTAGCATAAACAAGCTGCTACTTGAGGGTGGATAAGAGGAAAAAAGAAAAATGGCAAAAGAGGAAAAGGGATTGAGTAAGTGTGAGAGAGGCAAAGAGGGAGAGAGAGAGAGAAAGCCAATTAGCTACTCATACTGTACAAAAAAATATTTTCATTTCGATTCTCCTAACAAGACTAACAAACAGACAACGCCAATTGTAATGAATTATTCCTATTTTGTATGAAACTGAAGGGATAGCAATGTTCCTGTTAGAAGAAGCTATAGTATGAACACGAGGATTAAGGAGATGAGTAATGAATCGAAAAAATAGAGTTCCAAACGAATTTTCGAAATTGAAAGCAAACAAGTCGAATGAGAGTCTGATGTAGATGAAATTCAAAAAACGATATTTCATTCAACGTCTTCGTTCATACCACGATGCTCATGAATTCATAGCAACAAGCTTCTTGTAACTTATTTCTTCTCGTTGAAGATCATGTTTACATGGATACATCGAGAATCAAACGAATCCAATTGTATTTGCAATTCGGATGTGTGTCCTGTCTGCTTATCACATGGAATTTCCAAAATCACAAATTTGATTTCTCTGCTAACAGCGTAGTAGACATATACAAGAGTTCATGAAATCATCAACGAAATAATTTTTTGTTCATTCCTCAATAACAGGGAGCAACGTTCAATCTAGTCTACATCACACACATGCGACACAGGCTAGATAAACGAATGAAACAGCTTACATTCCATAATTGAGATGAAGTCATTTCACAACGTAATAATTACAGGATGCTCAAGTTAAGCTTATGGCAGGCATTGTAGCGTTCTCTATCAGTGTTCTCTGCATCATTCCGGCAATTTGCATATTATCTTTATTGAGGTATATATTTATTTTTTTTTATAATTGACAGGATGTGACATCGATAGTTGTGAGAGAGATAAGGATTTTATGAGAGGTCATAAGACTAAGGGTGAGACAACTGTCGTAAGGTTACACCCATATGCAATACGGTGAACCGTTTTGGAACATTAAACACTTTGCATATTAACATTTACCCAAATGAAGACAATACCGAAATCGTGACAACTAGCTGATAATCGATTGTACGTCAGTCTGATGGGGCCAAACCAAAAAAATGAAAGAAAAGGAAAAATTCTCCATATAAGGAGTTTGATTTGAATAATCTTCCAGACCACTAAGAAGTCAGCCAATGTTTGTTCTTCATCGACATCTGCTGACATCATTTTTGCTTTCTGGCTTATTTTACTTGTTCAACTGCTTCTTTTTCATAGTTAACGGAGCTCCTGGTGACAACTTATACTTGCTCAATGACGTAAGATTATCAGAAAAGCCAGATGATATGTATATCGTCGTTTACAGATATCCTGCAGACTCTTGTTCTTAGTTCAACTGCGATTTCTGCGATTATCAACCTTTTCATGGATGTTAGCTGAAGGTGTTTATCTGTATCGTCTACTGCACAGTACAAGTGCAGAAGGAGAGAGTTTACGTCCTTACAAAATTCTTTGTTGGGGTAATAGCTATCTCTCTATCGGAACAACTGAATATGTGATCTGTTGCAGGCGTTCCAGCAATACTGTCTGCAGTGTATGGCATACTGCGAGAATTATTTGATAATGAAGGATGTTGGGTATCTCCTTCTGTCTACGGCTTAATAGAATGGACCGTAATGGCTCCTTGTCTAATTGCTCTATGTGTAAGTGAAACTGAGAAAAATAATAAAACACAAAAAGAAGAAACGTAATGAAAAACAAACCATTATAGGTCAATATGCTGCTAGTTACATTTATCATGTATATCCTGGTGAAGAAATTACGCTGCGATCCGCATCTTGAAAGAATGCAATATCGGTAATGAAAGCATTACATTCTGCAATTATAAGAATGTTTTTTATTACAGTAAGGCTGTAAGAGCAGCATTAATGCTTATCCCCGTATTTGGGTTGCACTTCCTCTTTACCATATATCGCATTCCAAGTGTAACTCATCAAGTGATTAATTTGGTCTTAGACGGATTACAAGTACGTTTTCGAGCTTTCAAACTTTTCTCCATTTATCAGCCGTATCATCATTCTCATCATTACTTACAGGGATGTGCTGTGAGTGTTATCATATGCTATACAAACAAGACAGTTTTGGAATGTGTCGTCAAACGATGGACTGTCTTCTGTGAGAATAGATCAATGACGAAGGAATGTAAAGCTCGTACAAGCATCCAGACAGACACCCGAACTCCCCTAGTTCATAACTTATAAATCCAAGCTTGTTAATCTACTAATTATAATCATATATAATCTGATTGATTGCCAAACATGTTTTGAAGTCAAAAAATAACAAAAAAAGCCCTGTGAACATAGAATGTCTTATGAGAAGCCGGTATTACTTCATCTCTCGCTTTTGAACAAACTATTCAATTATTTTGTATTTTTATTATATTGAAAATGAATATTTCTTATTTCTACGGTTGCTGTCATGTTAAACAAGTCAAACGATGTGTCCATGAGTTACCAGGATTTTACTTCCCCATTCTCTTGTCCTAATGTCTGTTCCTGTCTCATTCGATCTCCCTTTCTCTCATCCACTCACTGCTCGAGAATGTCGTCACAAAAACAAGAAACATTCTAAAAGTTGTCAGACTCTCTCGAGATCCCGATAATCATCCGTTAGATGAGTAGAGAGAGAGAGAGAGAAGTCAAAAGATCAACGAAAAAAAAAAGAACTTCGAACAGCTCAGCATATCCTAAGTTCTTTGACCAGTGGACTTGACTAGTTATTCAAACTAAAATTGGAGTCTCACACGAATTGTTATAAGCTCGGTTGATCTGTGGGAAAACCTTATCGAGATGATTCTTTTGTGATAGATGTGCTGACTGCCTTGATCATGCGAGATGTTATCTCAGCATATCTAATGCTAGTAGTATCGTATTGTGATTGAGATCTCAGTTCAAAGGCTGTAGAAGAAACAAGAATAGAAGGAGTTTATATTTTATTTCTTCATTCTCCTAGTACATGCATATGTATAATGATAACTGTCATCAGAATTAGCAATTAGTCAAATGAGAAAATTAAAAACTTTAAAATTAAATTATCTTTAATTATATAACGCCTAATTATTTCACAGGTTGAAAGATTTGACAATAAATAGAATCTATGAGACAAAGTAATGGAAGCCAAGCTTCCTTCAGACTTGAGTCGAATGGTCTATGATCAAAATTTCCGTAAAGAACTAACGCAGGTCATAACGTTCAGTACAAGGGACGTTGAAAACGATACACTTCACATTTTCGTAATAAAAGTATATGAATAAATTTTCTCTCAAATGTACATGGAAAAATCTTGGTAACGAAGAAATGGCACAAGGGGGGATAGTTGTCATCTTGCTCAACAAGAAGAACTTTCTTTGGAAACTGTTCTGATAAGGCAAGATGTGTGGCAAAATGACACACAAAGTCTGAGTAACTTATAAAACAAAAAAAGCAACAGAATCGAATAGGAAAAGCTCAGGGATTGGGAAGTGAACCACACTGAATGTGTATGGAAGAAGCATGAGTGAAGGTAGTGAAGGTGATCATAGAGGAAATAAGTTAAAACAATTAACAATCTGTAACAGACTCGAACATGTTATCTACCCTTCCACGCATAGCACGAGGACCGCGAGATGGCAAACTTGCACCTGTTTGAGAATTCCAGGCGTTAAAAGTGTTCACGAACTTTTGATTATCTGTCGAGAGGAACATGCTGTTACGATAATCTCGGGCTTGCTTAACTACGTGTCGTTTTTGGATAACGGGAGATTGTGGTATTTCACGAACGAGTTTGTCTTGAGAATAAATGGGCTCTTCAGGAAACGTTGAATCAAACGTATCCGTACGAGCAGACCTTCTCAATTTTTTTCGAGCTCTTAAAGAGAGTCGTTCGGGAGGTTGTGAGTAACTATAGGCATCTGTAGGAGTATACGCGTACCTGAAAACAAATTTCAGTCATGATCAGAAAATTCAATTTACCTAGTAGTTGGAAAAGCGCGAATAGAGTTGTGATGGCTCTGTGGGTGATGAGTATATATTGGGGTTGGGAGTAATCTGTCTTGCCCAGGATCTGGAAGTGGAGCCTTCCGGCCGGTTGATTGACGGTCTATTGGAATTGCCATACGCGGCCTGGAAGACAAGTCTTTCAAAAAAAATCTGAGCGAAAAATACCTTAATTGAGGGGGCTGCCCCGACTCCACCACCTCCACTGTACGCGAACCATGAGTTGAACATGTGGTAGTAGTCCGGTGCTGGTGCTCGTCGGTTAACTGGTGTTCTTTCACTACCGAAGCCGGGATGAATTGGGCTGGCGACAGAGGTGGTTCCGTGGTACGACTTCGAACTTCAAAAAAGCTACATAGAGGAAAAAGACAAAAAGCAACAATTACCTGGGAATAGCGTAGTGATAGGCCGGTGGGGGCGTGGCGGGATGGGCGGAGGATCGTACGACAGAGGGACCGTCTGGGTAACGGTGGGCTTGGAATCGGTCGACGAGTTCGTAGTCATGATAGTTTGAGGAGTTCTAAACAATTTAATGAAACTCTGTTAAAAGATACTTTGGAGATAGAATCGTGCATAGGGAAATGAAACGTTACATCTACAGCTTCAGAGAAAATCTCATCACGCAAGACTAAGTGACACACACCACCCGAAGAGTAACAGAGGGAAAAAGGGAAAGAAAGCATGCATACAGAGGATTGGAAGAATAGTAACCAAGAGGGCATACCTAGCCCAATTTGTGAAGAATCGAGAATTAGAAACAATCAAAGGCTTGTCCGGGGATGGTAACTGTAAACGAATCAAAACATGTTCAATGGAACATATTCCAAATGATTTCTTTGTTGAAACAGAGATAACCACAAAAGCACACACACACGCATAGAATAGATTGAGAGAATTAATACTGATCAATCGGAAGCACATTTGATCCTTGAGAAAATTAAAAACACAACTCATACAAGTTCAAATGAAATTCAAACACTTTTAGCTAGTACATGCTTGAATAGAGTGATTTGACGCATACCTGGTAAGGTTCATTGGCATACATAGAATACATCTGAGGATCTCTTCTACTCATATTTGGAGTTCCATATGATCTATTCATCAGCCCCTCTGTTTCGGCAACATTATCTCTTCCCCTGTAATCGTATCAATTTGAAATCGATCACGAAAGGTACGAAAACATACCTAGTAAATGCTTCTCTAGCCTTTTGTCGTCGTTCCGCATCTAGCGTTTTCTCAGGGGATGATTCTCTGGATTTGGATCCGAAACCGAACCAACTTTTCATTGTGCTAAATAACATTGTCATATATTCAAATTACCGAACTCTTACCTTCCAACAGACTTTCGTCGATGACGATCTTTGTTGACAGCATACTGTCTATCCATGACTATACCTGGTGACCCTGGGGGATAAGGATGAGGTGAAGTTGCTGAATATCAATTATTGAATGGAAAAAAAAGAATTCACAAACCGTAGAAGTCATTGAATTCTCCTGGTCTTCCTTGAGAAAGTTGTCCATTTTTTACATCTCCATGCGGTCCTGCACGTATACTTTCAACGCTTAGGGATCTTCTCTTGGCTGGCTCTGAAGAAAAAAGGTTTCCTAATATTAGTGAGAAATGAGATAGCAGAAACTGAGACGAAGGTTAAGTAAAAGCCCAATGATACCTTTGATGGAAACATGAGGTCTAGAAGCAGACTTAGAGGCGTTGGCATCGCGAGGATGCACAGATTGGCTGCGAGCACGAGCTGCTGCTCTTTGAGAAGCAGATCGTTGCTGTGCATGACCATGGAAAGATGAGGAAGAGGTGAGCGTAGGGGGAGGAGCTGAACATTCATAAATGGAAAAACGGGGAAGGTAAAAGCATAAAAAACATATGGAAAACGAACTAACCACTCGACTGTCTTTGGTGTTTGATTTCTTGGAATAGTTTAAGATTGTTAGGATCTAAAGATGCCCCCATTCCTCTTTTCTCACTCATACTTTTCCTCGTAGGAGCCTCACGATCGAATGGATCAACTGATTGTACCTCAGATTCGTCCAATCTTAATAAAAAACTTGTAACAGATTATTCAAAACCGGAAAAAAAACCTGGGTTGTTCACTTGCTGTAGATGACCGTTTATCGCCATCCGAAGAGCAACTCTCTCTATGAGAGGAAGAGATCATTATATCATCGCTACCCAGAGGTATTTTCCGTTGGACAATCAAACTGAATTGAATAATAAATTTTCGTAACTATTAGAAATCACTTACGTTACGCTTTTAGCGGTAGGATCAATCGACTTCAATCGCTTAGTAACAGCTTCACCTGCGGAGGTATTAGACATTCCGATAAGGTTCAACTCTTCTATCCCTATTATGCGATCATCTACCCGTAATCTACTATCTTTGAAAGCCGCACCATTATGCAAAACCTATAATAATAATAATTGATTTGCATAAGCTTCCCCCATTAAGTGAAAGCCACGTGAAAACAACGTGATTTTGCAGGCACGCCAGGTTTTCATTTTTGAATGAGCAGGGTGCAAAAGAGGTTGTTCATGTTTTTTCGTTCAATATACGAACATAAAACGTACATTTTTAATGAAAATTCCGCAATCATGCCGAGTCTTGTCACTTTTCACAGTGACACGAGCTTTCAAGCTCACACCTAGGCCTGCACTCCCTGTACTATTCAATGGAATCTCGAACTTTAGCTCGTCTACATCAGAATTAGATTTCTGGAAACAACAAAAATGTTATAATTCAGTATAAACTCAGATCTCACTTTAGAAGGACTCGGAGAAACTGGTTCAGGAGAGTATTTCTGAATCGTACTCGAATTAGCAGAAGGTGTTGATTGTTGATTCTCCTTGTTTTCATCGGTTACACGAGAGACCACAAACTCGACTGATTGACCAACACTCGCTCTCTTCAGACGATCGACAACTTCATTTTGTGTTAACTCGCATGTTTGTTCGCCATTAATCTTGAAATAAGCTATTGCAAAACAAAATTGTATATGAACTACCTGTAGTAGACGATCTCCCGTTTTCAAATAACCTAACGCTACACCATTTGGTTTCACGGTTCCAATATAGAATAACCGTTCTCCTTTTGTCGTTTCACGACCAGTGACTGTAAAGCCAAACCCGTTGTTACCTGAAAAAACGAAACAGTATCCAAACAAATCAAGAATATTTTCATACTTTTCTTCAAGTTGATAATTGTGCTTTGCCCCAATGCTTGAGAAGTATTAGCCTGCTGTAGAGCAGAGAAAATCGGTTTTTTCTGACCCAACTCTTGACGCTTTCTTTCCTGTTCGTCTTTTTCACATTGGAACTGCTCTTTCGGTCGAGCGATAGTGAGAGAGGGAGAATGCTTTTTCTTAAGATCAGACAAATATCCTCGCGCTCGCAAGACCGACATCTAGGAAAGCGCGGATAAATAAAAAAACTGTTTGAAGTACCCACCTGATAAACAGGTCTTCCGTCAATTGAAACTATGTTATCACCTACGACAAGGCGCCCATCTCTTCCTACTCGACCATCAGCGTGAATACGAATAATTTGAACAGCCACAATTCGATCAGTGTTACCAGTAGCGTCATCCTCCACACCCGTAACCTAAAAGAAACATTTCACATAGACGTAACAAAATTCTACAAACCTCAATTCCCATGCTGGTTTCATCATCATCAGGAAAAATTATGATAGTTTTATCGGGATCCTCAGGGCTCCGAACTGGAGGTGGTCTTGAGGGATTAGTGAACGATTTGATAGAACTTGTCGACTGTTGCATCTCATCCATGCGTTCCTAAATTTCTTTGATAACGTTTCCAATGTTAGTTCAAACCTTTGCTTCGAAAAACGTATCACTAATCCTGGATTTTCGAGCAGAGGACCGAGTGAGTCGCCCATCTCTGTCTGATGACTCTGCTATTCTTTTTTCAACTTCTAAAAAACAATTGATTATAAGTTAAACTCAAATCTAACTCTCACCTGGACTCATTGTTACTCGATTCCTGTTAGGTGTTGCTGTTTCTGAACGGAGAGAGGAACGAATAGGAGGAGAAATAACATCGCTGCCCGAAGAGGATGATGAAACTCCGGGCCTAACTTCACAAGGTGGTGAAACACGTTGATAATTGGCTGAACAACAGAGATAAAAGAATATCATTATGATAAAAAAACACTTACATGCTACTTCAGACATATCGTTAGGGTCCTGAGCAATATGAACATAATGAGATCGACCATTCGGCAGAGCTCTTCGTATTGGTCCCATATCCATAGATGAAGAATGTGTTAGAGGATATGATATATTGCATGTTGTAACGGAGGAAGAGCTAGTCATTCTACTGGGAGGAAAGTTATTTGAATGAGATGATCCAGTGGGAGAGGAATAGTTGCCATAGGGAGAAGATAGAACTTGATATGTGTTTCCGGGTTCACCGCTACCATTCGGAGATTGTTCGTCATAAATTGCGAGAATCTGAAAGTATCCAATAAAAAAACCTACGGGAATGTTAAAAGAAGAATCGAAATATACAACGTGTGATAAGAGCCGCGTCTAATGGTCCAAATGATTTGATAACCACAACTTTACCTGGTCTGTGGTTTCATCAAAAACATCTACTAAACGATCGTCCATGTCTAATATGCCTGCATCACGGAGACATTCCATATGTATAATGCGAACATCAGAATCCGTCTATGGAACCAGAAAAGTTTAAAAAAATCCTCACCGTTACATAGTCACCGGGACTTGTAGTAGACTGATATTGCATAGTCATTATGAATGTTCATTAGAACGTCTTCCGGTCATAACTAAACGAAGACAATCTCAAATTAGGAGCAAAAATAGAGATGAAGAATGAGAAAGAAGTAGGTGAAGATTGAAGAAACGAATAAGAAAAACACATTTCATTGTTTTTCCACGTAAAAGGCGTATTGATTGGCAAGGTGCAATTCAATGCAAAAAAATGCCCTTCAACGGCAAAACCATAAAATAGTCTTTCTTCAGGCAGTAAGGCCATCAAAAAGGAATTATAAGTGATGCAGATGAAGACCACACCGATCCAAAACAGAAAAGAATGGAAAGAATTTGAGAAATCGTATCAGATATTTACGAAAACGCAAGAGGATATCACGTCAAAACCGTATGAAAATCGATCGACCGTCTAAGAGATACAATAAACGTGAGCGAAAATTGTGTGACAACTAGAGAAAGCAAGTACAAACACTTGAAAAACAAGTATTGATATCAAAAAGCGCAAGAAAACCAACATCAGCTTTAGGTCATGTGGAGGGAGAGCCCATACAGCTGAAGACTGCATGATTCAAAACATCAAAACAAACGATGAAATGTTGCGTTGAGAAGAGCTGCAATAATCAATGAACAATCAGAACTGTTCTACTGGTTATCTCTCAATCGGCTCCCACAACTACAGGTTGTTTGAGGGAAAAGAAAAAGTACGTATAGCCTCAGCTGAGCTATGACTAACGTGAAGCATCAACGAATTGATTGATTTTGCTGTAGCAGCCACCGCGACAAAGGCAGTTTTTACGTACAGTCAATTCCATCTTGGGAAATATTAAGCAAAAGTAAAGTTAGATAGTAAGGTTGGTGGTTATATTCAATCTAGATGTTGTCTATGTGTCTGGCAAGGTAGACTGAGGCTCGTCGACCTCCGTTTACCTGGTGTCTAGCAGAGTTCTCTTCTGACTGGCATGCTATCTCCCACCAACACAAACCAAGGCTTTGAGGTTGACCCTTTCATCCTATTTAGGAGAAAGATTGATAGAAAAAAGAGGGAAAAAGAAAGCGAAAGAAGTACAAGGTAAACAGTTATGACTATAGAAGCGCTCAAAGTTGGTTTGGAAGGAGAACTCAAAAAAACTGAAAGTTTTAATTAAACAATTTGGAAAAGCGCGCACTGTTTGAGGAACTAGTATGACTGTGTCAATGTCTGACAGTGCTGAGAATAACTGTATGAAACATGTAAATATGAAAGAGATTATGCATATTCATGATGCTATCTATAAACGCCCCGAAATTCCCAAAAATTTCTATTATCTGAAGGGCTTTTGATCGTTTCGTTTGCTGACCGAGCACTACACAAAGAGATATCATCAACATCGGGAAACATACAATAATACTATGGAATAACGATCGTATGCACATATCATGTCTCCCCAAATCCTCAGCGTCTATATAAGGAAAAAAAGAAAGATTGCAAACTCACTTTTCCAGTAGCTTTTTTATATCTCAGGATAGATGCATTAGCTAAATCTCTAACAGTAAGTGTATCTTCCGGACAAGGCACAACTACCCGGACAGTTCCAAAATGAACTGTCACTCTCCGTTTTTGCATGGTTGCTGCAAGAGTAAAACGAAAGTAACGATTTCAAATAAAAAAAATAAGAGAAAAACAGACAGAAGCATAAGAAACACGTGCATAACAAGAACTGACATGTAATACATTACCTAACTAGCACGCAATTCATGCGTTCACACAATCAATCGAGAACGAAAGAAATAAGCCAGAAGAGGTAATAAAGATCTGTATTAAGACAACTTAAATAAGGTCAGACTTCGAACAAACTGTCAATTATGAGCCAATCATATTACGTTAGCGTCTTTATGGAACAATAATAACACTATAAACGATCGCTGCCTCTTTGCAATAAATCAGTACACCATTATGCATTTAATGGTGAAATTATCATGAACCTAAGACAAATGGCCTAAACTTCTACTCAATTGACTGGAAAATGAAAGAGTGGGTAGAAAACACTAATTCGATTATCTGAGAAGTCTAGGCTTGAAACAAGCGCAACGCACCGAAACAGCCATTTGCCTATCTCCAATCAGAAAAAAAGTTCTTAGAGTATAAAAAATTGAATGATAAAAGAACAAAAATCGAAATCAAAATCAAAATCATTTTGAATGTTAATGAAAAGATAAGAACGTCTGTTAATCACCACTTCATACACAGGTGAGACTCGCTGTTAATCGCGCGTTTTTTGCATGATGTTCAGCAGCGTCCATCTGAGCAAGGGAATGACAGAGGGTTGAGGTCATGGAGGTGTATTCGACGACTTGTCACATAAAACACGAACGATGGCAGAACTCCGTTTAGTCAAAATGACGAAAGCGGTTGAGCTCACTAGGTGTGTAATGACTAGTTATCAAACATACAAAGCAACAGCAAACATGGCAGATGCCATATATGTATAAGACAAAAAATCAATGGCTAGTGAGGGTCACGTGGACATAGCGATACGTGATGGCAAATTAACGAGGTATTATTCTTGCACCCATCTCTTTCGTTGCAAGGTCGACTAAAAACAGTGCGTACATGGTATATAAGATGAGATTTTATAAATCAAAGAGGAGAATCAGGGCATTCGGCTAATGAAATGCGTTGATATTAGGAGAAAAACTTCCGTTTTAGTCGGAAAAGCAAGCAATGAACGGAAAACATTAAAAAATGAAGGTGATAGTAATGGTCAAGAAAAGAAAATGTAACAGATAAGGTGGAGGAAGTGATACAGCTGTGTTGGAATGTGGAATAACTGGAGAAACGGAGAGAAATGAAGAGGACAGAATGGAAGACAAAGAATGAGACAGCATGATTCACATGAAATATCATTCAAATATACATCATATTACTATGAGAAAGCTTCAAAATCCAAAAATAAAATATATCTTTCAATGTTACAAAATATTACAAAAAAAAAGGAAATCAGACAATCAGACTTTTGAAGAGGACCGTCAGCCGGAAGAATAGAAAACATGCATTGCAAGAAGCAACAATATTTAATCAAAACCTTGGCGCCAAGTGGCTTGTCTAAATATAACTATCTGAATAGATTGCAAACCGCTGTGATACGGGTCACAAGTTAGTTAGGTAATCCTAACAAACGTCATCTTGAACCATCTGTCTAATGAATGTGAAAAGCATTCTGATGGAACTGACCAACAGGCGCTATACTCACATACTAATAGAAAGAATGACCATGGTCAGTTATAACAATACAAAAAGATATGATGGGAACGGCTAAATAGAAAAAATGTGAATGTCCAAAGAGGTGATGAATCAGAAAGATTCACTAAGATCATCTGATATTCAAACACACATGACATTTAACAGAATGACATGACGTCCAGCAAACATATGAGCTGAGTACTCAGCTATATATGGCTGGATTTTCATCTCAAATGTGTAAGCGGATGGTGTATTTTAATTTGGGAAATTGAAAGTTGATGCGAAAAAAAGATTTGAGTGAACTTCCATTCGATTGCCAAAGAATGGTCATGAATCATGTAAGCAGCACTTAATTAGGAAAGACAGAAATTACAAATCTAATGGATACAGACTGGATTGAAACGCGACAATCCGACAAAGGAAAGAAAATTAGATATCAATGGCTAAGAATTATGAACTGTCACAATTATCAACAGGCTGGAATTTCGAGACAGTCTCGAATGAATAGGGAGAAAAATAAAAATACCTTTCAAATATCGCATTGTTGTTGGCTAATAGTCTATCTGCGTTAGATTCTGGATGCTTTGTAAGCTACGTATGTCACCTCTCGTAAGATATGTTAGAAATTAGAAGAGAGATACAACGATCATCTGGAATATATTAGTATGAGATAATAGTTTCAACTGTTTACGACACATGTTCAATAGAAACTGAACTTGGGAAGATGATTCCCAACACCACCAATACTCCCACCTAATCTTATGCTAATTTCCATGTTTCCGGATATCATGTCTTCACATTCAATTCGTAAACAACATAATCAATAACATAAATATGCGAAATCGGAAAAAAAATCAATACTGAACGGTTTTTACCGCGAACTTGTATGGATATCTCAACGGATATTCCTTCGCGCCAAAAACGCCTTCATTGGTAAAACCAAAACAGCTTTGTAATGGATGATTATAATTGAAGGTATCATTATATCACGCAACCCCATGCATGGAATCTACCCTTATGTACTTTGAATAATGAAACTAACCAAAAATTATTATAACTCTTCTGCCCTCTATCCAAGGTTCTTATTCATTCTTGCAAAGTCGCGACGACGCAAACACACAACCGTCTTCTAATCGGCTTGTGCGGAAAATGTTTTTTTACACGTTTCACGTGGAAATCACCGTGAACTTGGCACTTTCCAGTTGCCACGTTTGCCATTAGTCTTTTCGAAAAGAAAAAAGACGATTATGGAAAAAGTTATGGAAAACCGTTGTGTTCATTGTAAATTCAAATAAAGGCAAAAACGCCATGACGATTGATGCTCGTGGAAGAAGATGAAACTATTTCTTTTCCTGTTTTTTGTTTCTTCATCGTTTCAAAATTTGAGAAGCGCGAAAGAAAAGTTTTATTGAGGTCACCTTTACCGCCCCTTCGTAAAGTAGTGAGTTTCTTCGTCTTGAAGCATACGACATTCATGAATTCAAATTCAAAATTCCTTGTTTATGTATAATGAATTACAATATCAGGTTACATGATCCTGTGTTCCATTGAGTTGGGTATGGCAAGACATGATACGAAAGCTGTATAGTAATTAACATAGTGATTAATGATTTTACATGAGATGCTGATGAAGAAATCAATAAATCAATATTTGGATTTCAAGACAGAGCCAGTCAGTTTGTAATGATGAAGACGGTTCTACAATTTCGTTTCATCGCTCATCGTTCTGAGGTTTTTAACACAAAAATTTGAGTCGAAAGACGGGCGGAGCTTGTAAAATTGCATTTGAACGGTTGCATTGGGTTTCATCTCTTAGCAAAGCCGCTTCTTCCTTTCACAGTCTTCATCTGGTTATTCTAAACCTCATTTCTGACAATATATAGTTGAAGCAGTTTGCGCAGAACATCTGGTTACCTAATATGGCTCTTTAGGACTATTGATCTTTCTGTCTGTCCGATTCACTCCTCCTATTTTGACAGCTCATTATACCCAGTCTTCGTTGAATGTCGTTCCATTTGGGTCTCTCACTATCTATTTAAGCTTGATTCACTTTATTTTTAGCTCATTCTATTCGTTCATATATGCTCATCATAACCGATTATTCTGATTCTTCCCCCCCCTCACTGAGGACCTCATAACCTTGTTATCTCTACCTCTACCTCATAGTACTTTAAAAACTAAAAAAGTCTTTCCAATTTGCACTTTAAATGTTTCCAATGATTTTTGCACATTGAAAGGAAAGGACGGTCGATCAATTGAGACATCATGAACGATAGCCTTGTCTGTATTCAATTCAAGATTCTAGTATTTTCCCGCCTTCTTCATCTGATAATTATAGTTCTAAAGTTATATTGAAATGTTGCTAATCCTCCAGACATATTCAGGACAAGCCTAAAACCGTTTTGGCTGACACGAAATGACGTCATAAAACGATTTACTATCTCACTTCGCTGGTTAATTATACCTGGCAATAGCTTTCTACGTTATTCTTTTAAAAATTGTTGTTTTCTTCCTATTTTCTCTGCCAGTTCAGTTGGACAGACATCTTTTGATTTTCACTCCATCCTGTTCATGCATAATTCCATTGGCTGGTATGAAGTCTGCTGTCCTCTGAACGAGAATGATGCTAAAGCTCAAAATAATCTTTTCTGTTATTACCTTTTACGGTCGCTTTCATTAATGCGTGTAAGTTGGTGTGTGTTTGTGTATGCGATGTTCTGGCAGTTGTTCCATCTCCTAACCAAGATATCGAAATCATCTTCGAAACTAATGATTCATAAGAAGCATATCCATAAGATGCGATCATTGATCACCAAATTTGCATAATCTACCGACTCTGACCTACTTCGTACGGTTGTGTTCAGGGTTAGACTTCCTTTTGAAATAATCTAATTTTGCATATTTTCTAACGTTTACATCTATCTATCTAACCATATTATCAAATCATTAAGAAAATATTCGAAAGATAAAGCAGTTTGTTTGAAATAAGACTTCTTGTTCGTCATCGCTCCCCATTCTACCCCTTCTATCCATATATACGTATGTTTAACATGGAACTATTGAAGCACAATTCGTTTTCCCATCGTTTCTCTATAAAGCTTATCTTCACCACCCTCGCCCTTTCTCTCTCTTCCGCTTATCGTACATATACACACAACTCTACTTAAGAATTTATTTTATTTCTTATTGTTTGTATTCTGTTTCCTTGTAGTTGTAGTATTCGATCCTAAACATCATATTCAACCTCTCTTGGACATTCCTATCGTCCCACGTCGTCGTCGTCTAAAAAAAGAATGTTTCATCTTGAATTCTGATAGGGAGAGAACGACGCACAAAAAAACGTTGCCAACTTACACACACAAACCTATGAGTTCTGTAAACAGCCCTGCTGCCCTTAATCCATTTACTTTGTATATTCTGTGATCTTAATACCTCTGGTTCTCTATCCAATTTTCCTCTTCTCCTTGAATTATTTAGTCATCAAACTTCTGAAACTTATAACATGTTTACCTTTTCCGGTTTTCAGGACCGAATTTCTTTGTTGATATATTGATTTTTCAATCGTTTACTATTCCGTTTGTTCCAAAAGGAGGTACTATGCTCCGCTTATCTCTGTATTCCTTCTACGGAGCATGAATAATCGTTTAACAAACAGCGAATCAAACGATTTTTGATCAGTTTTATAGTTGTAATAATCTGAAAACTTATAACCGCTTAACCATATCTTGATAGATTACACTAATTTCCTTTAACAACTCTTAACAGCTCGAAAATCTGTGGAAATCGATTTGAATTTCATCATGTTCTCCCACCGATGCCAAAATAACGCTCAAAACGAACACCCGTCTTCCCATCGTATTGTTTCCTTTACATATCCAGTTGCTATCAGTTTTTAATCATTGCTCCTGTTTTCCGTTCTCTGAACTCTTCGATTCTTAACTCCAACTCAGCTTTAAGGTACTTAATTCCTCTGTTGTCATGGCGTTGGCAGAGCACGATCCGAAAGAATATGGGGTGGAAGATTTGGTACTTCTATCCACCATTGATTTACCCCACATTGTTGATAATTTGAGACTAAGGTAATATACTTTTTGTTTGTTTGTAAATGTGTGTAGATGTGTATAAGACCTCCTCCATATTTTGAGTCATTCAATTGAAATTCCAACCGTCCGTCTCAAGACTCATAATATCAAATAAACTGACTCAAAGCATTGCAAATGTGTTTGGAGTGAAGCATATTCGGAAGCTTTCCCTATTTCGCAACCCGAAGCTTCTGACTCACCAAATGAATCTCATTTGAATTCGGTTTCAAAATAAGGCGATGACGTCATGTTAAAGAGTAATACCATTTCGTAACTAATAAGATGGCATTTCGTCCCGAACTTAATATGAGGGAGAAATTCAGAATTTCCATTACTAGGGGGAGTAAGTATTGAGAGTAGGTAGTTTGGAAGAAAACGAACGGAAATCATACTGGCTTTTGTTTAAGTTTTATCTTCTATTTTCTCCTCATACCCAAAGCGTCATTGACTTGTTTCCTTCTGGTCTTTGAAAAAAGAGCAAACACGGTCATTTGTCAGTCAAAGACATCTTTTCCTTCATTTTTCATTTCTCTCATCCCAACTTGTCGTATTAGTGGGTACCTAGTGAAGGGTCGTGTTTTCCAGATGTTGTTAAACAATGAAATGTTTAAAATTAGAAAAAAACACTTGTTGAAATGTATTTGATGCTTTCATACATTCCCAAAAAAACAGTTTTGAATTTGCATTAGAGCGCGCGTCTCACGTGGATAACTCACGGAAATGCTATTTTGAATGTCTGAGTGTAGTGAAAACTGGTTGTGTCAGGTGCGGAAAAATCTGCTTTTATACTTTCATGGGCTTTCAGGTTTTCAAAAAGTCGAATTTATACTTATATTGGAGAAGTATTGGTGGCTGTTAATCCATATCGCACTTTGGATATTTATGAGAAACCAACTATTGATAAATACAAGGTAATACCTATAATCATCGAACACTTCCATACATTATACAATTTGAAGGGCCGTGAGCTTTATGAAAGACCACCTCATGCCTTTGCTATTGCTGATGCAGCTTACAGATCCATGAAACGTTATGGACGAGACTCATGTATTGTTATTTCGGGTTTGTTTTCTATCTGACTTACTGTCTTACAACCTGTTCATCCTGCAGGTGAGTCTGGCGCTGGAAAAACGGAAACATCTAAGATCATTATGAAGTATCTGGCTGCTATTACTAATGTCCAACAACAACGCGAAATCGAACGGTCAGTACTTTAATGTGTTATGGGAATGGTTTTTCTTGCGTAACACATATGGCGAAGCTTTTCGCAGTAATAGACTCTTCCACGAAACGGGTGTGGTGTTCCCAGCAAGAGATAAACGAGATTGTATGTCAGCTGTAGTGTCTCTACGCGGATACTCTTCAAAATGAACAAAGCAAGATGATTATCTGTATGATGCTCTGTTCTCTTTGGAACCATCTGTCACCTCCAAGTGTCATATTCATATCTTATACCCCAGTTTGTAAATGTGATGTTCTACAAAATTCTTGAAGGGTTCAGAGTCACTGTCATAATTTTGCTCAACAAAAACTATTTTGACCATTATATATCCGTCCATATAGCGGTCACTTCAATTGATTGACTTATCGAAGTTTTGAGAAATTATAAGAATAGAAAGAATAATCCGATTATTTCTCTATCGCTCTACAGCAAGGCTCTTAGATAGTTGTACGTTCATTTTCCTCTGGATCTTTGATTGACCACAAGGTCGTCCGTAAGAAAATGCCATTCGATCTTTTATAATTGGGAAATTTACATGCAATGAAAACCTGAGGGACATTCAATAGTTCAGTAAGCTTATTGAAATTATATGTCTAGTACTTACGATAGCATGAAACAGAAGTATATGATGTTCATAGCTCTGATTCATTAACGATGTCATTGCTATATAATTGTTTGGATTAGTTTATTCTGAAATCGCATGATCTCATTACATTTCCATCAGCCTCAATTTGTTACTGTTTGATGAGCGGTCGAATATATAACGAATTTAATGGCTTCCTCAGAACATGAGTTCAACAAACTGACCAGCATGGCATGCTTCAAAAGATGAAAGAGGGGGGGGGGGAAATATTCAATGAATCTCTGTTTGTTATTCTTAAAGACTTATCAGATAGTCACACATTTTTGTTGCTTCTTATCATAGCGATGCTTTCAGAGTAAAGAACATTCTTTTACGTTCTAACTGTATACTGGAGTCCTTGGGATGCGCTAAAACGACAAGAAATGATAACTCATCTCGTTTTGGAAAGTACATGCAAATTAATTTCAATTACAATGGAGATCCAGTTGGTGGAAACATTTCAAATTACCTTCTTGAAAAAGTTTGAATGATAAGGTTAAATATTATTCAAGCTCTGTTTTAGTCTCGAGTCGTCCGACAACAAAGTGGAGAACGAAATTTCCACGTATTCTATCAATTGCTAAGGGGTTTGGATGGTGGTCGTTTGAACGAACTTGGATTAAAGAATGATCCCAAAAAATATTATTATCTCAGTCAAGGAAATTCTGACAGGGTAATTGGAAATAAATTGATGTTGAGTCTCTAAAGCTGTTTCAGGTGTCCAGCATAGATGACAGCAAGGATTTCAAAGAAGTGTTGCAGGCTCTCAAAACTATTAGCACTATTAAGCAAGCCATGATTGAGAGCGTTCGTAAATTTATTATGTTGAGGTTGATACTCTTTTGTTTAGTTGTGGTCTACTATAGCTGCAATCTTACATCTTGGAAATATCAATTTTGCTCCTGACGAAGGGTCTTCGGGTGGAAGTGTTGTTACCAACCGAGATGCTTTGTCTATTGCAGCCAAATGCTTAGGAGTGAGTTCGTCTCAGCTGCAAGAAGCTCTTTGTTCACAGGTATTCTATCATTAATGAAGATTTATATTATCGAAGTAAAATATAGGTCGTTGCTGCTCGAGGTGACGTCGTGACGAAAGCTCATGACGTGAACGCAGCTTTGTATACGAGAGATGCCCTCGCAAAGGTAAGCTCTTATTTCCTAAATTTTAAACATATGATTCTTCAGGCTGTATATGACCGTTTGTTCTCCTGGGTTGTACAGCAGGTTAACGATGCTATAACTGTTGACAACACTTCTCGGTATAGCAAAACCACAGTTATTGGTGTTCTTGATATCTATGGTTTTGAAATTTTCGGAAGCAACAGGTATTTATATGGTATATGTAACCTTACAAAGAACTGTAATGTTCAGCTTCGAACAACTATGCATTAACTACTGTAATGAGAAACTGCAACAGCTCTTCATTGAGTTGGTTCTGAAGCAAGAGCAGGAAGAATATGAAAGAGAGGGAATTCAGTGGAAGAAAATTGATTATTTCAATAACAAGGTAGTTTCAATTTTTGTTCTGCTGTACGCTATCGGTTCAGATCATATGCGACTTGGTAGAACATCCACGAAACGGTATCTTAGCTACACTTGATGATGCATGTGCCTCTGTTGGTCGTATAACAGATAAAGTAAGTTCTTTGTTTCAAAAAAAAAACAGTGGTATACTGAGCTCATGCATCGGTTGCTTGAAAAGTGAGGCTTGTTGAACTTCTTATCCTTTTGATCATATAACTTGAGAGCTAATGCTACAGTCACACAGAACGGTTGAACCATATGCACGAATTGATTCGTTCTTCTTTGCGGCTGCCAATATTCATTATTTTAAGGTTTTCCTCGGTGAATTAGACAAGAAAATGGGAAGCCACAAACATTACAGCAGTCGTGGAGTGAAGCAAACTGACAAGACAATTGGTTTTGAAGAATTCAGGTTTGTTCTGAATCGGTTCATTGCCTCACATGAACTTTCAGAATCACTCATTACGCTGGTGATGTTACATATGCTGTCAATGGTTTTATGGATAAAAATCGTGACACCCTTTTCCAAGACTTGAAAAGATTACTCTATCATAGGTATGAGAGTAAAAACGATAAATTCATATATTTGCTTGTATAGTAAGGATTCTCTGCTGAGAAGTTTGTTCCCTGATGGATCCAAATCAGTGAGCGAAGTGAACAGAAGACCTCCAACAGCTGGATTCATATTCAAGGTTTCTTTATATAAATTTTGAAATTTCGTAGGTTCATGTTCTAGAACTCGATGACCCAACTTGTCGCACAACTGGCCAGCAAAGAACCTTACTACATCCGCTGCGTGAAGCCAAATGAAGAGAAAAGCAGATCGGTGTTCGATGTTGAACGTGTTGAACATCAGGTTAGAAGATAAGAGAAATAGTGCATACTTTTTTTTATTAAGGCGAGATATTTGGGTCTACTAGAGAACGTACGCGTGCGTAGAGCAGGGTTCGCTCATAGAATGCCATATGACCGTTTCATCAACAGGTAAATTCTGAAAACTGACCAAATATCATATGAACTCTTCTAGATATAAGTTGCTCTGCCCTTCAACATGGCCCAATCCAAGACACGGTACACCTCGTGATAACTGCTCCAAGATCTTACAACATGTTGGTGAATTGAACGATTGCGTCAATGGTAAAACGAAGGTAAAAGAATTCGGTTCATTCGAGTACAAAAACAAGAATGATTTCAGATTTTCATCAGAAGCCCTCAAACTGTATTCAGACTCGAGGAGCTGAGAAGTCAGAAGTTACCTGATGTTGTTACGTTCTTGCAAAAAGTAAATTTAGTTATTGCTTCTTTTTTTATATATCTTTTCTTCAAGATGGTGCGTGGATACCAAGCAAGAAGACGATATAAGCAAATTCGTGCAGTTTATCTCATTATGGGCACATATCGCAAATATAAAATGAGAACATATATTTTCAGTGTCATTAACGCATTCAAGTACGAACAAATCTTTAGAACTTCGACTTATGAATGTCTTTTAGGGGTGTTAAGCATATGCGAGACTTGGGTAAGAGTGTAAGATGGCCAGCACCTCCAGTTGTTTTGGCTCCTTTCGTTAATAAATTGAAGGTGAGAACGATTGGAATGATCATATTATTTCGCGGAATATCGTAGATAGTACACGGAAGATGGAGAGCGGCGACCATTTTGAGTCGAATCCCCAAACACCTGCGGGAATCTTTACCACAAAAAATCGCAGCTTTCGAAGCTTTGAATGGCAAAAGAGATCACTGGGGATATCCCAGGTCATGGAAAGGAGATTACCTACTTCAAGTAACGATAGATGGATTAACAATAAATAGAGAATTTGTTCTAGCAAGAAGAGCATGAAGTCGGGAGCTCCAGTTTACAATACCGTGAGGGTTGTCATGCATTAGCCCAAACCCATCCTTTTGGAAAAGTGTTGTTCAGTACATACATTCAAAAGTTCAACAAGTTCAACAAATCGTCTTTACGTGTGCTTATAATTACTGACCGTTTCATAGCTAAGCTTGAAGCCAAGAAATTCAAGTTGCTCAAAGAACCTGTACCTTTACAAAGTGTAAGAGTTCAGCACATTTAAATCAGAAAACGTTCTGCTTGCTTTAGATAAGATGTATTTCGGTTACCCCGGAACCCAATGGACTTATCGTATTCCATATTGGAGAGAACGACCTCCTTGGTTGCACGAAAAACCCCAAAGATGAAGACAGGATTGGTGAAGTCATAGGCACACTGTTTGCTCACATGGACAGGTAAGGAAAACCCAGGGATAACGTGAAATTATGATTCAATTGTAGCTTACACTACAAGAGGCCTCCAGTTTACGTAGAGCCCATCTTGAACTGCTCATTAGGAGGAAAAGCAAAAGTGATCCGAGTGTTCCCAGCCGACCAATCGAGCATTTCGCCATTATTCAAGAAAAATGGAAACGACGTAGATTTAATATGCCATACATTGCAATCATGATCCCATTTGCCTGCTCCAACTCTGTAATATATCGGTGATTATGAAAATACCCCCCCTCAAAGTTTAAGAAGTATAGTGATTAATAAATATAAAACTTTTGATTATGAGGTTATTTCAATAACAATTTATATGAACAACAAATTAGAACAACAGCTTGTGTGGGTATTGTCCCTTTTGGAGAGCAAATCTGGTTCCCAAATATCCGAAAAGAGCCTTAGCGTCCTTGTTCTTCTTGATGGATTCGAGGATGGCCTTATCGACAGCCTTTTGGTCGGTCTTTCTTTGTTCAGTAACCTAGTAGGACAAAATGAAAACAGAAACTCGAAAAAAAATACTTACGACGTAGTCAACCTTTCCGGAGGCGAAGATGTTCTCTCCCTTTCTGGTGCTAACGGTCTTTCTCTTGAAGTATTCATCATTGATGTGATCTGGGACCTTTACTCCGGAGATATCGAGTTGAGTCTTAGTAGCAATAACGTAGCTCTGGGCGATCCTTCTGAGTGGGAAGGCATTGATCTTGTGGGGTCCTACATAAGAAATGTTATGAACGAAATACGAAAAAAAAATTACCAGTGCAGAGAAGAGTACCAGACTTGTTAAGTTGCTTAAGGAAAACAACGCGCTTTCCCTTATGCTTTCCAGCAAGAACAATAAGGATGGTTCCTGGGGTGATGGACTTGCGAAGAGGAGCTGGGTGAGATTTAGCAGCACGGAACTTAGGGGCAGATCTGGTCAAAGGAAGGTTGATAGTCTAAACACATTCAAATAAAAGAAAATAAATCGAGGGAATGAACTTACGCTCTCCTTGCGTTTTGGGGTAACGAGAACCTTCTCGGTTCCACGTTTGGTGTAAAGACGAGCAGCAGAGAATCTGCTGATGCCTGGAGAAAGGTCAAAGTTGCGACCGAAACCCACCATTTGAAAACTAAAACAAAAAAATAAGACTTAAGGTGAGTTCTGAGTATAATAGTACAGTGAAAACCCGAAATCATGCCCAAAAACAACAAAACAAATCTCTCAAAAATTAGGAAAATAAAGAAAAATTGGGAAAAAGCATGGCTGCAGACGAGTTTTGCCTGCCTTTCGCTGAGTATTCAACGTTTGCGTTTCATCGCGCGCGCTTCAGGACCATTTTCTCCGTCCTTTATGAGAACAAAAAGAAAACTTCAATTTGAATTTGAAATTAATTTCTAAGATTGTATTGAGCATGTTGGAGATTATAGAAATATATGAACTTGTAACATGTTGGTTGTATCGTTTTCTTTCGAATCAGTTTTCATTTCAACAAACACATTTTCGACATTTCTCAAAATTTCCATTCAGTTAATGCTTCACTAAAATGGTAAACGAGCGAGAGGTAGAAAGTGATTGTTTCACGCCTCGTGATTATCAGGTACTATAAAAGATGGAAAAAGTTGAAAAGTTGGGAGAACTTTTGGGTTGAAATTTAGGTTGAACTGCTTGAGAAAGCATGTCAGCGAAACATTATTGTGCAACTGGGAACAGGATCAGGCAAAACATTCATAGCTGTACTGTTGTTGAAAGAGTTTTCTCTGCAAATTCTGCCTCCCATAAGTGCAGGTGGAAAGAGAGCATTTTTTGTAGTTGATAGAGGTTTGAAAGAGAATGAATTATATACTGAACTATCCTTTACCAGTTGCTTTGGTTGAGCAACAGGCTGAACACATCCAAACTCAAACTTTGTTAAATGTGGGTCTGATGCATGGAAGTTTGAACAATCAAATATGGTCTGAAAAGAAAAAATTCACCGATTTTCTTGAAGCCCATAACGTAGGTGTTCAGATAGAGTTTGGTATTCATAGAAGTGTTGTAGGTCATCGTTCTTACAGCACAAATTCTTCTGAATTTGCTCCACCATGCATTTGTTGATCTGTCTAGTATCGCAGTTCTGATTTTCGACGAATGTCATCATGCTTTATCTGCTCAGCATCCGTATCACGGAATTATGAAAAAATACAGAGAGATTCCAAAAGGTTGTCTAAGTTGTCTAAAAGTATCAGTGAATCGCTAACTTTCAGATGAGCGACCACGAATGCTAGGTCTGACAGCTTCTCTCATAAATGACAAAACTCCGCCGTCTAAATTAGAAAGAAAACTTCGAAAACTCGAAAAAGTCTTGGATTCTGCGATCGAAACATCTTCAAATCTTGTTTCGGTTCGTCTTATTTCCAAATCCTTCCTTAAACCTTTGTATTCAGCTCAGCAAGTATGGGGCTCGTCCAACTCAACACTATGTCAGTTGTAAAGAATTCGATGTCACTACCGTACCTAAAGCCAATGAAATAATTGAAGTTCTTGTAAGATTAGGTTAAAGTGGTGAAAATTATAATTCAATTAACAATAGGAGAGACATTTGAAGTTCTGTAATGAAACAACATTGTTTGCAACGGATTTGGATCCTCGCCGTCCGATCGTTGAAGGATTGACGAGAACCCGTTCAGTTCTCAACATACTGGGGCCATGGGGTGCTTGGAAAGTAAGCTTGTATAATTTGAAAATAGCCTATAAATCTTTCCCAGGTCTCGCAAATATGGGAGAAACAATTGAAAAAGTTGTCGAAACAGTCTATTATGCCAGAAAAAGCTACGGACTTCTTGGTTATGGGAGAGACGTGTATGCAAACAATCAGGAAGCTTCTCTCACCAGTGGTTAGTTTGATTAATTAGAGCATATTGATAAGGTACTATCAGATGAGGAATCTCAATACTACAGAAAGTTTCAAAGAGTATTTACCACATAAGGTAGGCATTGCATCTCATGAATATGTTTATATTGAATTGAAGGTTGTGAGGTTGTTGGAAATTTTGTCAGGTTATTCGGAAGAGAACAAGCTTTCTTGTATAATTTTTGTTGAACAACGCTATGTTGCTTACGTTCTGAGTGTAAGTATTGGTTCTCTCAGATGCCTATATGAAGTTCCTAGAATCTTCTGAAAACCATTTCTCGACTGGAGCAGTTCAAATTCATAAGGCCTGACTACATTGTCGGTTTCAGTGGAGGTAGTTTGTCGACTGAAGATAGTCAGGGACACCACAAGCGACAAGATGATGTTTTGTTTGCTTAAATAACTTTATCACTTCTCGTTGTTCCAGGTCTTGAAAAGCTTTAGACGTGGTGATTGTAATATAATTGTCTCAACGAATGTGTTGGAAGAAGGAGTAGATGTGCGTACTTGTAATTTGGTGATTAAATTCGATCGTCCACTAGACTACAGAGCTTATGTCCAAGTGAGATTTTTTTATAAATTATGTCGTGTTCAATATATCTTTACTCAAGTCAAAAGGACGAGCTAGAAAGGCAGGAGCTAACTATGTCGTGCTTATCGAGGAACAAGAGCTTGGTCAAGTCTCAGAAAGCATTCGTAATTTCTTGGAAATTGAAAAAGTGCGTAAAATTAGTTTGCCTTTCAAAGTTTAACGTTGGCTTTCAGATTCTTCTCAAAAGATCTCGTAACGTTCATAATCCTAACACCGCTTGGGATAGTGATTATAGTGTTGATGATCTCTTCCCGCCATATAGAGTCGAAGAAACTGGAGCAGTAGTCAAGCTTTCATCTGCAATTTCTTTGATCAACAGGTGATAAACAAACATATATGTTTGAATGTTGGTTTCAGATATTGTGCCAAATTGCCTTCTGATATCTTCACTAGACTTGTACCTGAGAATAGAATCATTCCTGTTCTTCACAACGGCAAAGTTATGTACAAAGCTGAACTCTTGTTACCTATTAATTCACCAGTCAAGGAGGTAGCTAATGTTCGGAAGCATATACACATAACACTTTATAGCCTATTCGTCTTAACACGCCTATGAACAGCAAAAAAGTAGCTCAAATGGCAGTCTCATTAGAAGCCTGCAAGCTCTTGCACGCTAAAGGAGAGTTGAATGATAACTTATTGCCTGTTGGAAGAGAGTCAATTGCAAATATGATGAGCCATCTTGATGAAGATCCAGATGAATGGGCTCCAGGAATTTCAGCTAAAGTTGGTTCAGTTAGAAGAAAGCAACTTTATGACAAAAAGGTAACTATACTGTTTTTCTTCAACTTCTCAGTGCTTTTATAGGTTGCTCGAGCCCTTCACGATGCGCTTCCTAAGATGGGGAAACCATGTTACATTTATGTCATGCATTTGGAACTTGTCAAAGAGCCATCTACAGCTCTGAACCCCAAAAAGAGAAAATTCAGAAAGCCTGAAGAATACAACAACGTTTTCGGTTTCTTGAGTGAAAAATTACTGCCCAAGATACCATCGTTCCCAGCGTATCTGAGACAAGGTGATATGAGAATTCATCTTGTTCGAGCTGCTGATCCGGTATGTGTAATTGGTTGATTCAGTAAAAATAATTTGTTTTAGATCGTTCTTGATGAAAACACCTTGAATTTGTGTCAACATTTCCATCATTACGTTTTCAAGAATGTGTTGCAGTTATTCAAAGCTAATCTTGAATTTGGGGTGGATGCCAACACTCCTATCAATACAATAGTTGTTCCCCTGTGTATAGGTATACTTCTATCTGTATTATGATGCCAACATGAACTTACAGAAAATATTGACGGCAAAAATACTTACAAAATTAATATGCAGTACTTGTCTGACGTTGTCAAGAATATGGGTGTTATGCCCAGAGTTCCACCCGCGGAAGAAAGAAAGAATTTCAAATTCAGGTTTGGTTCTGAGATATATCTCCTTTAATATGATGCTGTAAGGAGAGAAGTATGAGTTGAGAAATTGCAATTACACAGCGAGTGCGACCGGTCTGTGCACGAATCAGAACTGAAATATCACATGCAGCACGTGCTGTGTTCACGTTCACGTTATGCTAATTCGTTCTGCTTTAGACCAGAAGATTATACTGATGCTGTAGTTATGCCTTGGTATAGAAACATTGATCATCCTGTATTCTACTATGTAGCTGAGGTTTGTCTCTCTAATCAAAGAACCTGATTCAAAAATACCTTCTGGCGTTATCAAGCAGTGACTGAGTACTGTTTAGATTCTAAATGACATGAGCCCAAATTCTAATTTCCCTGACTCGGAATATTCAACTTTCAACGAGTATTTCATCAAAAAGTATAACTTGGAGATTTACGATCAAGAACAAAGTTTATTGGATGTGGATTTCACTTCCAAGTATATTAGAACTTTCATACACACGGTTTCATGTTTTTTATAGTCGTCTGAATCTTCTCCTACCCAGAAATGGCCCAGGTAAAAGGAAGACGAGAACGGATGCATCCAGTTCCCAACAACAAATATTCGTTCCTGAGTTGATGGAGCGACATCCTATAAATGCTACCTTGTGGAATCTAATAGCAGCTCTTCCTAGTTTCTTCTATAGATTAAACCATCTTCTGCTTGCCGATGAGCTACGCTCACGCGTGATGACAGATGCTCTGGGTTACTCAACGGTAAATGACAACCATCACCATCAACCAACAACAAGAATGCTCTCTTAGAATGATACTGTGCCTGGAGAAGACTTTGACTGGAGTCCGTTATCCTATCCAGCTACATATGAAGAGAAACAGTTCTTGATTGTTTCGAAAATTCAACAGTTGCGCGAGTTCAATAAAACAACCGAACAGACAGTAGAAATTAGCGAGCCTCACTTCCCTGTCACTAATGAGGTTTGTACTCTTAATCGCTGACTCATATCCTGGATTAGAATTATGAAATTGGTGTTTGGGATCCAAGCTGTTTCATGACCGAACCAGTTGCTCTCCCTGTTATTGATAATGAAGTTGATGAAACGGTTGGCTTAATATCATCAAATGTTCGTGGTGGAGATATGTCTGATGATGAAGAGGAAGGGGAAGCTATAGTCATGACTGATTTTGTGAAATCTTTGATTGAAATGACAGGTGAACAATTTATCAGTTATCTGACAACACTTTTCATCTTGTAGAGGCTCAGCCAGATTTCGCTGCTCCGCGTGTTGATTTGATTGGAAATGAATGTGGATGGGGTGACTTAGATGATCACGTGTCTGATTCTCCATTCGTAAGATGGTTATTAGTTCTTTATTCATCCGTATGAGTTCAGCAAATCATTGATATTGATTCGAATGGTATTAACATGAGTGCCTTGATGGCTGATGTGAGTCGACAGATAATGCCAACCGTAGATGTTTTACCAGCCACAAGAAAAGCTGATCAGAAGGCACAAGAAGATGTAAACACTCCATTGAGAGAAAAATGTTTATATTTGTATTAAGACGATGAAGAAAATGTATGTGGATGCTATGGAGAAGTTCAAAACAGAAGAGAGAGACCGAGTTGTAGAGGAAGAAGTTATTGATTTGGCGCTGTATGATACATTGGAAGATGATGCTGCGCTGGGTAAGTTCATCAACCAAAATGGCTTCAATTGCTGTTAAGGGATCGATGAGTTTGATGATGAGGACGCCGAGTTCAAGGTGTTAGAAGATGGCGAACAAGACAAAAACAGGAAAGATTTCAAATCCCTCGAATGCTTGCCTAAGATTAAGCGCGAAGTTGGTTGCTATAATACCTTCATTACATCTCATCATCATACAGGGAGAAATTCTTGCACCTCTCAATGATTTCAAGTTCTCATTCCGTAAGCCGTCTCCTACCGTTTCGAGGATTCCTGAGGAGGGAGTTCACGGTGACGACTTGATGATAAAAAATCCTTACGGAGTCTCACCTGCGTTACTGCTGATGGCTCTCACAACATCTAATGCTAATGACGGTTCGCAAAGCGATACATTTGATTAGTTATTACATTCACCTATAGGAATCAGTTTGGAGCGATTAGAAACTATCGGGGATTCCTTCTTAAAATACTCAGTTACCGATTATTTATATCATTCACACTTCGATCAACACGAAGGAAAGTTATCGTTCGCAAGAAGTAAAGAGGTAACCTGCTTGTTAGTGTATAATGAGCAATTTCTTTGTTTAAGGTTTCGAATTGCAATCTCTATCGTCTTGGTAAAAAGCTTGGAGTTCCAAACTTGATTGTAGGATCTAAGTTCGATGTCCAGGATTCCTGGTTGCCACCTTGTTATGTTCCGACTGTAGACTTCAAAGCGCCCAATTCCGAAGATGCCGAAGAGAGAGATAAGTTTATAGAGGATGTCCTTGATGGAAAGAAGGATGTCACTGAAGAGGTGATAAATTTTTTTTCTGATTCTTCTAAAGAGTATACAGGTGAAAGCTCCCACTGGTTGGGATCAGGTAGATGGAATGGACTCCAGAAAGTTAGTGGATGGCGTGGAAACTATTACATTTACCAAGGTTTCCATGATGACTAGAAATATTTGGAAACTTAACTTGTTTGCAGCCATCCGCTTCTTCAGCTGCGATGGAAGAAATTTCCCCGCTTCCTTATAATATGCTTACTCAACAATACATTAGCGACAAATCTATTGCTGATGCCGTTGAAGCTATCATTGGAGCTCATCTCCTAACACTTGGCCCTAAACCAACTCTGAAAGTTATGAAATGGATTGGCCTGAAAGTATTGGTTGATGACGTTGTATCTCAAGCACCTCTTTTACGGTATGTTTTTAAGTAACCCAGATGTGCAACACCCTATCATCTCAGTTTTATTGACACACCGGAGCATCCTACTCGATCAGAAGATCAACTTTCTCTTCTGTTCACTCAATATAAGTTCGGTGATTTGGAGGAAGTAATAGGGTGAGTGGGAATGTATACCTTCATCTCTTCATCTGGTTTCTTCACTTTTAAAGATATCGCTTCCACGATAAAGCCTATCTTCTACAAGCCTTTACACACGCTAGTTATTATAAAAACCGTATCACTGGATGCTATCAGGTACTAATGGTGTTTCGTTGATCTGCGTTCATGTGTAATCTCCCCAGAGACTCGAGTTTTTGGGTGACGCTGTGTTGGATTACATGATCACAAGATTTTTATTTGAGGATGGTCGTCAATATAGTCCCGGGGTTTGTATGAAGGTTAACAACTTTCCATATTCCTTTCTTTAGGTGTTGACAGATTTGCGGTCGGCCCTTGTCAACAACACAATCTTTGCCAGCTTAGCTGTGAAGTTTGAATTTCATAAGGTTTATTTGGTGTTGACAAAAAACAAGATGATGTGATTTTCCAGCATTTTCTGGCTATGTGTCCAGGCTTACATCACATGATTGAGAAGTTCGTAGCATTATGTCGTGAGAGAAACTTTTTTGATGCCAATTTCAATGCGGAGGTGAGAGTCTGGTCCCTGAGTGTAGTTCATATTGTAATCAGATGTACATGGTAACGACTGAGGAAGAGTTTGATGAAGGACAAGAAGAAGATATTGAAGTTCCCAAGGCGTTAAGTGACATCTTCGAAAGTGTCGCAGGTGCTATATATCTGGTTAGTTGAAGGCAAATAGAATGGCAATGGATATGAGTTTCACAGGATTCTGGTCGCAATCTCGATGTTGTTTGGAGAGTTTTTCATAATTTAATGAAGAGTACTATCGAAGAATGCTGTGCTAACCCCCCAAGATCTCCAATCAGAGAACTTATGGAGCTCGAGCCAACAAAGACTAGATTCAGCAAAATGGAAAGAATCACAGAAAATGGAAAAGTTAAGATCTCCTTGTTTATTTTCCTATTTATTTGTTAAAGGTGCGAGTAACTGTTGAAGTGAGCAATAAGATGAAGTTCACTGGAATGGGAAGGAATTATAGGATCGCTAAGACGACAGCGGCCAAGCGGGCGTTGAGGTGTCGAATCTTATTCTTTTCATAGTTCAGTCTGTTCTTTAAGATACTTGAAATCTTTGGAAGAGCAGAAGCTCCGAGAGATGACGAAGAAAAACGAATCTGTATTCTCTCAGAATGATTAAGAGCGTTCTGACAAATATGCAGACGCAAGGCGGGTCCATTTTTGCAGCTTTTTTTTACTGAATTTCTGATTATCTTTTTAATTTATAGTTAATAAACCAGATTATCTCACTTACTTCGTTTGACGAGTAAATCATAATGGCAATGGAAGGCAAAACAGAAAGAGAGAAAGTGAAGTAAAAGAGAAGTTCCTGTTTCAATTTCCCGTTTGCTACAGTTCTATCGATGAGAAAAGAAGAGAGTAGTGTAAAAGAGAAAGGAAAAAGCAACAAGTTCTGCCAATGGTTAACAGTTTTCCTGATCATCATGTTCGGGCTGTTCAGAGACTGGAGTATGTGTAACTGAGGTTCTTCAATTCATTTAGTAACCGGGAAAGGGAGTATCTGTCTGCATGCCTATAGCAGTGTAGTAGACGATCCGAATTTAAACTTTTCATTCGAATGGCATTGACGGAAACCCGTGTTTAGCCGGCTGTTATCTGCAAATACGATCTCGTTTCACTAAACTTTTGCTTTGTATCGTCTGTTTGATGTCTATGGATTTATAATATTTATGAATTATCTGTACTACATTCGGAATTCGTTCATCTTTTGACATGTTGTATTATTCCACGGATCTGAGGGGGATGTTATAAGTATTTGTTGATTTCAAACCAGTATTAACAATCTGTTTTACATCTTTTTATACTTGCCATCAATAGAATACTACCTTTGTATGACGTAATTATTCCTTATATGGTTTTCTCTTTCAAATTCATAACTCTATCTCTCTCACTGATCCTATTAATGGTAAATCCAACTTAGTTTTCCAATTCTCGAACTAATGATATTAACAGAGAAGACAAATCGTTACTATCTTATTGTCTCATTTGTACAAGTGGATGTGACATAGACCTGTTCTCTCACATGTTTAATACTTTGTCCCCAGTGTTTCTGAACTAGACGAGTTCGACACATGTGAACAGAAAATTATTGTTGCTCATCCTATTTGACCCTTCAATTCTTTTTCTTCGTTTACTAACTTCATTATTGAACAATTCTCAATTAGCTTCTTTATGTTATATTGATTCGAGCAGTTATTACTGTTTGGCGCCATCCTTCACAGAAATCTGTAAAACACATTTAACGTGACTGGGAGCATCGTTTGATTTGCTTCTGTGTGGTTTTGAAAGATTCCGAAACTTAAAAAAAGTGTGCTTCAACACTTCAACTATCCTTTCTTTGCTTCTCTCAATTTACCATTCGTACATCATTTCGGTAGAGAACGAAAGGTGACTAATGAAGTGAAAGGGATAGAAAATGAAGAGAATGTTTGAAGAGGAACTTTTCTTTTTATTCTCATAAAATAGCTAACTTTAGCAGTTAAAGCATTGCTTCTACACTAACACTCTTCATTTGTTTCGAACCGGATAGTGATCTGCCAAAAAACAAGAATAAGAAAAATATTTTTCAAATTCTCGACAATTGATTTAATTCTCAAATTGTTTACCTCATTAGCATTAGCGCAGCTCTCTATCCACGTGCTAGCTCATTTACATTTATGTTTTCGTACAGAGCGGTTGCATTCGTTTCATTCAAAATGTATTCTTCCAAAAAAAAAGAAAGGGCGCAATTACAATTTTACATTTTGTGACAAAGTCGTCATAGTTGTCGTCGTTGTGATCATTTTATGCATCTCTAGGTTTCAATTCTCAGAACGATAGGGTTTCTAACTAATGAAAGTCGCATTCCCAGTAGCAGTTTTTGAAAAAAGTTAAGTCTGATGACCTACTTTTACTTGTTTATTGAAGCTATCACAGTGATTAGAGCGAAGAAATCGATAAAGACTGTCCTGGTAATATACTCTACCTATAGCGCTGTTGCTACTCGTCTTTGCGTTTTTTGCACAAAAATTCTGTTTTTGTTGTGTTTCGTTTATGCGACTGCCCTTTTTCTTCCTCTCTGTCGCAAAATTTAGCTAATTTTCTGACAGATCAAATAACTTTGCTTATTTATTCTGGCGTATGCTGCGGTTGGAGACTGCGAAATTTGTAGAGCGAAACAAAGTTGGAATTGAACTATTTCACCAGCTTGTTGCTATCAAGTGTCGATAATGTCCATATGCGAAATAGTCATGGAATTTCTATCTGGTCTCTTCTACCGCCTTTGATTCAACTTTTTTTTTCGTTGTGTAGTGCTGGGGTTATCATGCTTCCTCTTTCTATGGTAGACTTTGCTTTAACCTTCTCTTTCTGTCTTTGCTTCATTGTGCGTTTGCTGCAGTTTCTGCATTTCGCTCTCTCTCTTCATTTTCTTCCTCTTCTTCCTCACTTAGACTTCATCAGACATTTATGTTCTGTCGAGGTTTTGAATGAGTGTTGACGAACAATTTCTGCAATTCACAAATGACCTGCGGTTCAAAAAATGAATTATAATTGTGTTTTTTTCGTGATCTTCTTCATGACTTCCCGCCAGTCTGGATCTTTATCTATGTCGTTCAACTTTCCCTGACCTTGAGAGAAGGTCGTGAAGTGTTACAATTTCACAAAAAAAAATTGAACATAGGGCTTTCCTCTGGTTGTTTGTTTGTTAGCTGCAATCTATTCACAACATCATCAGCTGTCGTGTTTCTTTATTTTTTCTGGACATTATGAGGAATGAGTTGCTGTTTGATAGTAGAGATGAATCCTATTAAATCGTATCAAAGTTAAAACTTTTGTTTTCTGTTTTGTCAGTCTTATCATTATTCGCTCCAATCTCTGAGCGTTTAGTGACCTAGGACGACTTGAAAGCTGAAGTCTGGTTGTTGATGCTCGACTAGATTTTCCATCCATTTACAAATGTCTTTCCGTTCTGCTGAAACTTCTTGCTTAAGAAGTATCAAAAAATGGAAAGAACGTAGCTATAGTGCCCATAACTCATCCGGAGCGAGAGTACGTCATCGACTTTGATGAGACGACCGCTGCTCACATACCCAATACCCATGTGTTCACTGCAGTTTCGTATTGTTACTCTCATCGTTTCCTTTCGTTTCCTTTGCCTTCGCCATTCAGTTCTCTTAATTTCTTTTTATGTTATTTCTTATCAGAATAATGGTTGTATTACAACTCAATTTTCTTTTGATTAAGCTGGTTTCTGAATCCTCTTGTCGCAATACCTCGTTCAAGCCAACCGTGGCGTCATCCTAGCCCAGTTTCCTAGATGTTTTCCCTGTTGAATCATGAGTTGTATCATACGTTTTGAAATAAGCTGCAGGAGCAGATTTTCCAATCTGTTTATCTGTTTATTCCTTGAAAATTAAATTTCTTTGGGAATAGGTGAAAACTTTAGCGTTTCTGTTGTGGCATAACATAGACGGCGACAATCAATAGACGTAGCAAACGGGAATGCCTTTTGCTAAGTGTGTACATAGAAAGAGAGCTGGAAAGCATGAATAGAGAGAGTAAAAAGAGGCTCCCGGAATCCGCACGTGGTTCTCAAGCTGTGGCTGTTAGTACAGGACATCTGGAATCTGAAGCAGATAATGCGTCTGCCAGACAGGTGTTCCTCATGTGCATTCAGTTTGAAGTTGTTAAATTTCAGTGGGTTATTCATGTGTTCAGCTTATAACTTTGATGAGCAATTTCGATCTTCTTGATCGTTACGCTACCTCGCATTAGTACATCAGCGACTGACATTTGAGTGAACTTTTGAAAGAATTTTTGCTTTCTGTCTCTGTCTGTCTTTCATTCCATTCATTCATCCGCATTGCAGGCTCGGATATTTTTTTCTTCTCATTCCTTTCAACATCATTCTCTCCTAATTTGAATTTAAAATAGCTTATGAGAAGAGAAGTTCCCATATTTGGATTATTTGTCTTTGCATTTCGTTCTTAAGTTGTTGGACTGCCTATGTTCTTTACTTAACACATTTCTTTCAATTTGAGACATGGCTGCTTGTTGAATTTGGAGAGCTTTCGAACATTTTCGCGGCATTGTATGTAGTTATTTATTATATATTCTGTTATTATTAGATAATCTCTCAAAAATGCTAAGAAATATGGAATGAGGGCAGAAAAACATGATTGTTTTTCATTGTCCTCTGGGAATCCCCTTCTCTCCTAAAGACAGCGTGCAGCCATCTATTCCATCTCTCCCTTCTTCGTCTTTCCCTCGTTTCCCCTCCCTTCCTCTCTCTCTCTCTTCTAGCTTCAAATGTTTCTTTTTTTAGAGTTGTTTAGTTTACTAAACTTTATTTTTCAATATATATATATATCTTTCTTTAAATTCGGTCTTTTTTGCTGCTAACAACGTCTTTTACAACTTTCATCCTTCATGCCTTTAACTGGTTCCGTTCATGAAGACCTGGTTTCTGGCTAGATGATATCCTGAGAAACTTTGTTCACTTCGTTTTCCACCCACTTATTCTTCTTATTGTTTACTTCCTTCCGAGAGAGGCGTCAGTCAGCTCTTTGGTCGGATATCTCCACGCACTTGGTGCACCTGAACGCCGACGAATATCTTCAGATCGCGAAGATACATTTTTGAAATCGTTTATTATCAAAGAGAGACATTCTTTCACTTGTATTCATAGTGATTTGTTGAAAGCTTTCCGACCTCTGTTAGTCTCTATCAGTCAGCCCACTACAACGGACATCCGGCTTTTCTTTCCTTCTCGTTGTTTGCATAAGCTTTTATGGTGCACAAGCCAAGCATATTTCCAATATTTCCAATTTTGATCAATTATTTTCCAGTCAAATCTTGTGATTTTTCGTTTTTTCCACCATTCACACGTGTTTTGTGTCCTTTGCCCAGTACAGAACATCTCACTTAGAAGAAAACCAGTCAGTTACATGATGTTTTCGTCATCTAACTCATTTCGTGCTCTTTTAACTGATCTTGCAGTTCCAACCTCCCCTTTTTTTATCTTTCGGTGTTTGTTTTCCCCTCGAAAAACTGTTTGGAGCTTTTTGCTCGGGACTATGCCATGTCGTGTGCCTACTGAAGAACCCTTTTTATGTTTTCTGCGTTCTGTTTTTCTATTCCTTCTTTGATAAATTGTATGAATAACGTATCGTTTGCAGTAAATGTTAGAAGGAGATTAAAGATAACTCACTAAAATGGATTGCTCTATGTCAGAAGAGTCGGAAGCAATTGATTATTTTTCGTATTTACCGCCAGAAATTCTAGTCAAGGTATTGTTGCATTCGTAATCAACGTCGTCGTAATGCTCAATCTTGTTGTTGTTTCAGATATTCGGTTATGTCCCCCCAACAGATATATATGGAAATGTAGCTATGGTCAGCAAGCGATGGCGAGAAGTTGTACTTGGAAATTTAAAACGAATGCCCTTGTAAGCCTTTTGTGGAAGAAAGTTTGCAGAAATGAAGTTTTTCCTTTCTTTCAGAATGCCTGTTCATTGTTTCATACAAGTTATGGATATGGAAGGCAATTTCGTAACTGATGATTTCACAAATCCATTGATTCAATATTACTTTTCGTTATTCGATAGAACTCGAGATGGTATTACTCATTTGTTTATTATTCAATACATAACTGAAGTTTCAGATTACAAACAGAAATTAAGGCAGTGTAGAGAGGGAAATCTCGCTCACAGAGAATTATTCATGGCTCATAGGTTTGTAAAAGAAATGATTACGAATGCAAATATCTTTCTGTTGTTCAAGAGGTGGAAACTTAGAATGTGTTTGGGGTGGAAGCGACAAAATGCCTCAAAGAGCAGACAGTGAACTAATTAGAAAAGTTTGTTTTGTATCACAAGAATAATATTTATCTTCTCATATTTAGATATTAAAATATGTTGAAGTCGAAGCGCTAAGATTCGAAGTTAGAAAACAAGGACGAAAACTTGTTAGCCGATTGACAGACGATAGATTTGCTCAAGCTCTAGCTTTCCTTGAACAAATTTGTGGAAAAGTACAAGCCAAGTATGTTCAGCTGAAATATATATCAAAACTGACATTGACATTTAGATCTCTCTACTTATCCTCAAGAAGTCCACATTTTCCTTGGTGTTTCGCTGCCCAGTCATCAAAGAGGTTCCAAGGCCTTCACGGACTGCAATCTTTGATATTGGAGAATATGACAGCAATAGATTGTTTAGGAGAAGGTCCAGTACTTGTAAGACAATTTGAAAACTACATTTAATATACTCGACGTTTTGTAGGGAGGTGTGGATTTATCCCAAATCCGTCATTTGCATCTAAGAATGGATGTTACGCACAAGCAAGAGCTAGAGAATACCGTGTGGTACGAGCTAGATGGTTTGTTCATTATAATTTTCATCTCTTAACTATTCATTTGTTCATCTCAGGATCTATTCTGAACTCTCTTCTTCAAGGCCATAAAAGATCATTAGAATTTACGGCTTATAACGATGTGCCTCAGATTGTAACTGCCATTACTGCTGTAGATATGTGTAATTTTGTCATGGTCAGTTCGAAACTTCTTTACAATACTTATATACTCGTTATAGGGTTGGAGATCTCTTGTAACGCCTTGGATTATTCGTAATATAGTTTTTAACTCGATTGTTACCATCAGTGAATTCCGAACTGTTGGAATTCGCATGAACCTTTTCGATCAACATCACTTAGAAGATATCCCATACTGCCGGTATGTTGATAATCTTCATCAATTTATATCAAAATACTCTTCAGGTTCCGAACTTTCCATCCATCCGGTCCCAATGTTCTTCTGGAGTTAGCCTGTTACGGCAACGGGGTTTGTTTCTGTATAACCCTGATGTTTTTTATTTTTTTGTTAATTTCAGACAGCCACACAATGGAGCATTCGATCAGGATATGGCCGGAAACGGTAGCGCTGTTTGTAGTTTTCACAACTGTATATAGTATTTGTTACTTTCCATTGATCTTTTCATTTATCATCTTTCTTATAGATGGTATATTCTACAATTACGTTAGTGTTGATAGATGTACATAGATGAAGCTCCTTGATTTAGTCTCATCTAGGAGTTTCTATATACTTTCGAGACATAATAAACAACGTTTAAACAGTTTCTTATGTTTTAGTTGTTGAATCTGTTTTAAAATAACATATATCGTTGGTTGGTTCTGTTTTTCTTCCACATCTGTTCAAATCCTGTTATGATTATTTTCTGAAGCTCGAGTGTTTCATATGGTTCACACGCACGTTACATGAGATAATTTTCTTGTCAGCCCTTGACGTTTAGTGGTATCTTACTCGTGCTATAGATAGAATCGTTTTCAAGTTGTCTTTGCCACGATTCGTGTATACATAAGATGTTGAAAACCATTCTCAGCCCTGTTCTCTAAAGTGTAGGGTCTCGCACACGCGGCACACGTAAAATCATTTTTAACGAATTTTTTTGAAGTTAGCGGTCTCTTACACGTGCGCAACGTAAAATCATTCCCAAACAATTTTTCCAGTTAGCGGTGTCTTACACGTGCGCAACGTGAAATCATTCCCAAATTATTTTTTGAGTTAGCGGTGTCTTACACGTACATAACGTTGGTTCATTTCCAATATGCAGTTTCAGTTAGCGGTGGCTTATACGTACATTACGTGAGTTTATTCCTCGGTTGGTTTCTATTAATGAGCGATGTGACTCATAAGTCTACTAAGTTAGGCAGAATCACTGTCAAATCCCATTATCCGAATGAGCGGAGGATTACATCCTTAGTTATTGAAATCGTCTTCCTTTTATTTACTAACCCAGTTGCCTTTATACATATTAGGCCTATTCATCAGATGTTTGTTGTGGTTAAAGAGAGAAAGAGGAAGAGAGAAGGCGAATGGGGGAAGGAAAGAATTCATATCAATAAGGATAAGGAAGAACTGAGTTTGCTTCGCATAGCTTCACATGATTAAGGATTATTTTTGTGCGAATTAGCGTGCATACACTTATGCGAACGTCATTTTTAAAGAGTGTCAGTATGTGATTTTGCATAGATCTATTGAACGTGTTGAGCTTCATCTTTCCGATTGATATAAGCTGTGCTTAACCTTTCCGTTTGCGAGCACAGTTCAGTGAGAATGCATGGATTGTGTGCATGCAACCTGGTCGCGTCGGTTGAAAATATGCAATAAGTTATGACAATCCCCTCTAAACCATATCACTTGTTATGAATATTCGAACAGAACTGGTTTCTCTTCCCTTTCAGTGAAATGAAAAAAAAAGAAGATGAAGAGCAGATGATATTTTTGAATTTCCACAACTTAATTAAAAAATACTAGCGTACCGAGTTGAACAAATTCACGTGTGATCGCTCTCTGGTTTTGTATTTACTTAGAATAAACTCCGCCCCGAACTACTTGTTCATTTTAATTTGTCTCTCATTGTTGTGAGCAAGCCCGAAACATTGTAAAACTTCGCGCCGATCAAGCAATGAAATATCTACTCAGCTTACTGCTTCTATGTCTCATAGAATCTGTATATGGTCAGACAGTGAATCCTAACCTTGCGAATCCTAACCTTCAGCTGTTACAACAGGTAAGCATCTTAACTATGATTGTTACAGTTCAATATGGGCGAGCATATACTCTCATATTTCGATTGAATCAATAACTTACCTTTCGACCATTATCACGTGAATAGGTGATGTATCTCATAACAACATGAAGACATAGACGATTTACATTTCGAAACAGAAAACTTCTGTTTGTCTGAGAACATCTGATAAAGATCGAGAATAGATTAATCCACTTGCTTCTGAGTAAACAGTGCACTCATTTAGTCAACGTTTGTTCTTCTAATTCTCTTTCAATTTTTACACATTTTCAATTGTCTTTTGCTCTGCTTCCTTGTTCTACAACTGATCTTTCAGAAATTGAATCAACCAACAACTTCTCTTATAAACTTTCTTCATTTTCAGTGTAATTGTATAGCCAATCCTTCTGGCACTGGATGCCTTAGTTATGATTCGCGTTTTCAAGCCGCTACTCTGGAAGAAGCTATGGCAAGCTTTCCGGATCTTACATTTAGTGATCCAATGAACTCTTCCGACAATGAAACTCTTGAAGTTGATCTGCTTACATGTACTCGCAGACTGATTGATATGTTTAGGAAAGAGCTACATGTCAAACGGAGGAATGTCTACGCTGTCATGAAGAGCTCCTTCAGCAACTTAAAACAGTGAGTCTCTGATTCAGTTTGCAATTATAATTAACCATTTCGACAGATTGGATTGGTCGACAGTACCATAAATAATGTTTTCTCTACTCAACCAGACCTTTTATCGACAAGTATGTGTAACAAATATCACTTCAGTCGCAAAGATGAAGGAACTTACTCTGAATCCAAGAAAAGCAAAGGTAACACTACCCTTGCGTACCTTCAACTCACGTATAATTCAATCCAGAAGAATCTTCTTCAAGCGAAGAAGATGGAGATAAGAAGAAGAAGAAGAGAGAAAAGGAAAAAGAAAAAGAAAAGGCTAAGCGTAGCAAAGAGCAGAAGCGTTCTCGTCGCCAAGCAACTTTCAACGCCGTTAATGATCCAACTGTTGTAGGTATGTTAGCCAAAATATTGTAGAGTGCATAGATAATAATTTTCAGGACAACGATTCACCATTTCATGCTCTGCTAAAGGTGTATCTACTGATGCCAGTGGTTTGGTTAGCTTGTGCTCCTCCTGCTGGGCCTGGAGAAAACTTCCAGATAACTACACCCCACAGTTCATCAATGAGTTGGTGTGTGACAACGCAGACAATGCCTGCTTGAGTGGTTGGTTTTTTTAAACAGAAAAAGTAAGAGTTTCAAATTTAACAGGGTATGCAAGCTGCGGAGTTGGACATCGTTCTGTTGAAGTTGTTCGTGATGACAATGGAGTCAAAACCACCATTGTCTTGACGGCAGGCTCATACTGTGAATGTAAAGTAGCTGTAAGTTTCTTCAAATTCTGGAAAAAAACTCATATTGCATTCAGCATGGAAGTGTTTTGGAATCTCTGGTTAGTGGAACAGGCTTGCAATCACCTTTACCAGCTCAAGCCACGTCATCAGCAAACGTCGTCTGACCAGAAAAAGATCAGTCTCAGTTGAAAATTATTATTTGTTCCTATTGGGTACTGGTATTTCCCACAAACCTCTATGAGCCAAAGATTAGTTTTAGCTGCTTGCCAAAAACAACATGTAGTATCCGAAGTTTCCGTTCTCATCTTCCTCTGTATGAATGTATTATAAGAATAAATACAGAAACAAACGTCCGAGTTCAAAATGTTTCACTCTTGTACTCTGCTACCTATGGACTATGGATCTTGGAGTTTGCTCAAACAATCTAAGTCATCTCTAGCAATTGATTCAATCATGTTCCCATGTTCTGCTCAACTTCAGAGATCATCGATTAGATTTTTTCTTGATATCTCTCTCTCACATTTTCCTGCTTTAACTTGTTTTTTGAAAACTTCTCCTACTTGAGCTCATATTTCATTGAGAAAGTCGGAACTGTTGTCGCAGAATCGTGAAAGTTCTTCTGTATTTCTGGGTTTGTTTTAGGTTTGTTATACAACCTCAAAGGCTGGAGAAAGTAGGATGTACGCAGTGTCATTCTGTGCAACTTTTGTAGGAAAGTACAAACTAAGTTGCTTTTTTTCCACTACTTCTCTCGTCTTATTCATGAGTTCTTGATGTTTTGTTCTTTTGTTGTCTCATTTGAACCTCTGCTCTGCTCATCTGAGATTATGTGGTACCGTCTTGATTTCATGATAGCGGTAGACTTGAGTAGTTGCAAATGTAAGTTCCGGGACTGGTATGATGCATATGTGTTTTCGAGATTTGTTTCTTGAAAGTTCGGAATGCCTCTTTGATTGTTTTTTGTAGTTAGTTAATCTTGTGATAACTGTTCTCTTAAGTAATTCCGATTGAATTTTCTTTGAGCTTGATATGTTTCTCGAATGATGTGATGTCATTACGCTATTGAGAGAAGTTATGTTCGAACACCTTGTGTTATTGAGATTGAGTGATACTTCTCCTTGTTTCGTTATCATTACTGTAGGACATTTTTCCGAGAAACTGCGAAAGGCCTCTTCAACAGCTTTTCTCAGTTAGTTAGGTTCTCTTATGTGTTTCTTCGAAATCATTTGAAATGAAGTCTTTGGAGGTTTGGTCATTGGCCCCACCTGTGCACCTTACCTGATGAGACATCCCGTTCATTTGATGGAGAAGTGCCCGAAGAGAGGATCTAGTTGATTTTGATTTGTTATGTTAGAAGATAAGAAATAGGACGGGAATGGAGAAGTGTGGGTGAGAAATGTGTGTGAGTGGTACCCTAACTCCTTGAGTTGGCAATGTTGTCATCTCGGGGAGTTCCTCCCAAGTGCGCTCTAATGCTAACTTGGGAGGAACTGAGGGATCTTTTTTTTCTTGTTTCACCTTTTATGGTATTTATAGGATATGTCTTTTTAGGGGTTTGGGGGCCAGTAGCTAAGACGTTAGTAGATAGTCAGTACCGGAGCCCGACAGGTTCGGATCCCCCCCCCCCTGCCAGAAAGCCGAGCGGTTATCCGGCCGATCCCGAAGATGAGCCGAAGGCGAATCAAGGGATTGGACGGATAACCGGAGGCTACCTTTTGGAAAAAATAGCTAAGTTATTATGAAAAAAATGGGCATGACCTCTCCTATATATATGAGTATCAGAAGACCCCTCCCCTCCCCGCCTTCCTTCCTGGAAGGCCATCCAAACCCCAAGTCCTGCCAACTCCCTTTTCCATGTTGTTTTGTCTGTTTCAATGTCTTATGTCTATCTACTTTGGATTCATTTCCTAAGTATTTCTCATGTCTTTTCAGATGTTCGAGTTATTTCACCGAATTCCCTGATGTTCTCCAGATGATCCGTGGCTCTGGAGAAGATAAGGGTTTTCAGGAAATCCCGGAAGTCCAGAGGAAGATGGTTCACTCACATATCACTT